TACTCATATTCCCGAATATATACAGATAAATATTAGACATATTATTAGTAACTAGAGTCTTATTCCAATTCTTAGAAATTTAAAATATCTAATCTACAAAATAAGCATGTAATACGCACACATAAAGATAATTTTTTCTGTAACCTGAATAATATTCGTAAACAAAACACATGGCGACATCTAGTCTCAAGCTAGGCAGACCTTGTGTTATGGGTACTAGACAACTGATACTAATACGTAAATGTATATTCATAATATGCATAGAAAATACCCAGACCAATACAAACAACCATAATAATGAATACAAATGTTTAATCGTGCGAGGAATCAAACCCGTAAGTAGTAAGTGAGCTTTAAAAGTAAGGCGATATACTAAACCGCTAGACTACTGATGCCGTCAAAACAATTATTGTATATAATTGTTTTGTTTATAATTGTTTTAATACTTCTATACATGTGTTTATCAGCCCCTCCAAACCAGCTAATAAAATTGATCCAGCTAGGATCAATTTTATTAAATTTTATAAGCCTATTTCAAAGTATTGCTATATGGTATCAAAATATAATATGCCGTGTTCACTTAATATTCATATATATAGTAATTGCAATATTTTAATCAAAACAACCGTTTACTATTTCGACCACAAGCAGCAACTTTTGCTTAGAAAAATAGAATAATCATCAAAATCTCTTTACAATTTACAATAATATCACGTAAGACTTATTAGAAGGGAATTGAGAATTTTATTTTCATTTTAAATTGGTTAAAAGTAATATACCACGAATTGATCAGACATACGCATTTATATTACCAAAGCGAAGCCACAAACTTGAAAAGTAAAATCAATTTGTCAGCCACAAAACGAAATTATTTATGAAAATCGCCCCAAACAAGACTCCACTTAACCGTGAAACGCTTTGAACAAAAAAGTTCTTTAATTCATTTCAACAACAAAATGATCATAGGGTTTCTGTTATTAACCTACACTTATAAAATGTTTGTTCTTATAATTTACTACGCACTTATGAAATTATGAAGTCTAGAAAACTATTTGGAACATTAGAGTACTCCGAAAAGCTAAGTGGAATCAAAACTTATTTTGTCATGTAGGACATTTTAGCTAGAAAAAAAAGTTTTATAGCTATCTTGACGTTCACATTTTCATCGTGCGAGGAATTGACTCCCTACCACCCTCGAGGTCGTCAAATATCGCAAAAATATGTATATAAATCCTTACCCTTCATATATGGATAAATTAATAGGATGGTCATCTCTGAATACTAAACTATCGCACAACTATAAACTAATTTAAACAATTCCACGTATTCAAAGAGAGTTTCAGCAAAAACCATAGGATTACATAAATTAATATCAACTAAATGGGGTTACGAATAGTTGATATTTAGTTTATTAATCAGATTTTGAACTCGGTGATCCGATTAATAATGAAAAGTTAAAGTACTGATGACTCCGTTTATAATTGAAGTGATAGATTAAGTACTTCATTTGCATCTCATTCATTCGCTGAAACTTTCACAAATAAATTATTTTTCTACGCATTATATCATCCTTACTAATATTATAAATGCGAGAGTAACTCTGTCTCTCTCGCTTTCATCCCAAAACTACTGAACAGATTTGAATGAAATTTGGTACACGTTATAATATAGTCTAGACCTTGAGAGAGGACGTAGGCTAATTTTAAATGCGAGAAAAGTGTTGTAAAGTTTTGCAGGAGGAGATGAAAAATGGTACAGAATTATCGTCATTTTTAAGGGTAGAAGCTTGAAACTTAATTCTTAATTAAATTTATAAAGGTTACTATTCCATGCTGACGATGTCGCGGGCACAGCTAGTTTATTTACATACTTTTTTTTACCCCGTGAGAAATGTTCAAAATACCATCACACCACAGCAGGGGCGGCGGGGTGCAGGTGTGTGGGACATAGAAAACATCCTAGGTACCCATTAACCAAATTGACACCATAACACCTAGTTACTGTTCGGTGTTAATCAGCTAGAAATCATAATTATTAATCGATTTTATATTATAGTTATCATAAATGATAAATGTCAATCGATTATAAATAAAGTCATAAACATAGACATGAAATAATATCGATCTTAATCAAGATATAAATCATTATTCATATTGTTAACTTCGCAATAAATTCAAGATGCTGTAAGCGAACAAACTTAACTGTTAGTCCATTAATAAGGTGGATTAATAGGGTGTTGGGCTTAAAATATGGTTGGAAGACAATAACGACTGGCTCATCTGTCATACTCGTGAACGGGTGCTGTTAGTAGGCAGTCTGCTTTAGTTAATTAGGGCAGATATATTATATTAATTAATTGTAATTGTACAAAAACAAACAAACCTTTACGACTGTTATCACAGATGGATAGGCAGTCTGGTGACAATACCTGACTGACTACTATTAATGTTGTAAACGCAACACTTAACATACCCACATGTCCCTGGGTAAACATGAATCCGATGTACCGCCGCCGCGCCGTCTCTCAAAATTTTTTTTAATTTGATACGGAACTAAATTCATGGTTTCGTCTAATCATATACATATTTACATATATTCCCAAAGAAGCAAAGTGTAAATTTGAAAGTATGTTATACACTATATAAAAAATGGAATTAAAGCTTAAAATTCTACTTTATACATGAGTTAAATGCGTAAAAATTGCACTAAACAGAGTTCCTATAATATCTACCTATTTAATTTAGATTTAAAGAGCTGTATGATGTAGGTTCCTTTGCCTGTAACGAATCAAAAAAAGATTGTTTTTTTGATTCGTCACAGGCACCTATAATAAATATCCTTAAAACGATAAATATCCTTATTTATTCGAACCTAAATATGAAATATCGTATCCCTCATACATTTACATATATCATGTACATTTTCCATTTTTATCCTCGGTTTATAGCCCATTAAATCTCCGATGCGAAGTTAAACAAAGAGTATCGATATACTGTGAAAGTATTATCGTAAAAGCTAAAAGCCTAACAATGCTATGTTCACACGTGTATAACTAGGTTAATGTCTAATTAAAAATCGTTTTCTTTTATCTATTACATTGTATCGAAATAAATATATTGACAAATTAACAGTCTCGATGGTCTAGCGGTTTGACTCACTGCCTTTAATCCAAAGATCGCAGGTTCTACTCTTACAAAATTCAAACATTTTTATTCATGTCTGCTCGTATTGGCCTATATTACTATATATAATATTCATCATTGCCTTGCCTCTATTATTATTGGGTGCAGTATTATTGACGGTGCAGTATGTCATCTTTTTCTACAGATCTCTATCGGGTCTCATAGTTAAACATATGTTTAAAGTATGTTTAAAAATATATATATTTAAATATTTTTCAGATGCTTATTTTTTCTATTTGGCGCTCTCTAAACTGCAAAAAAAAATATAGAGTAAACTCTATAGATGTCTAAATACACATTGTAATAATAATAAATAATTTTATTGCAGTTATGAATAGAAATTCAAACTAGCGACGTGCTTAAGGTTTAAATTAAAATTTAAAGTAACACTTAATAATAAATAACTTAATGGTAAGATGAATTAGTTAGAAAGAGTTACGATCCTCTTAACAAAAGAAACAACAATCATTATTAAGTAACGGTAGAAAAACAGCCGATCTTCTTAGCAAACCGAATAAGTTTTTACTAATTAGCGGGATGTTAGGAAAAATAAATTCTTAAATAACAGTTTTCTATGTAAACCAACGTACTTAAGGGGTGTTTTTAAGTAGATAAACAACAATCATCGCATAAATACTATATATATTGTCTTTGTAGAAATATAGTATAATCTCACAAAACTTTCAATACATACGAGTATATTACGATACTAGCTGTACCCGCGACTTCGTCCACGTGGAATTGAACTTTATTTTTCTTTATAAAAGTAGCCTAAGTTACTCCTTATTACATCAGCTACCTGCCAAAAAAAGTCCCGTCTAAATCTGTCCAGCCATTTCAGAGATTAGCCGGAACAAACAGACCGACAGACAGACAGACAAAAATTGTAAAAAATATATTTTGGAGTATGTACCGTATTTATATTCATATGCATATAGCATATGAATATAAAAACGTATGTACGTAATAATGCAAAAACGGTTATTTCAATATTATAAACAGAAACTTCAATTTTATTTATATGTATATAGATGAAGATATATATAGATGATAATATATATAGATGAAAGATGTATAGATTAATAAAAATAAACCTGGTAAATAGATAGATTTACATTATTTATATTATGTAAATATTATACATCCGGATTTTTTCTGTTATATCCCGTGTCACTAAGCTATGTTGAAAACAAAAACCTAAATGATAAGCAGCCATGAGGAAAATTGGGATTCACAATATATCTTATCTAATTAATGTATTCTCCCATGAGAGACGGTATTATCTTTGTTCTATGCTTTTTATTGTGACGGGACGACCGAATACTTTCTCGGAAAAATCATTTCTTTCAGCAGGCTTTTTGCTATTGTAATTAGTCTTACTAAGCTTGTCATTGCTATTATATACAATATACATTTTAATTTTAACTTTGATCTCTTTATTTATATTATTAATACCTATTATGTACCATATCATCCATTCCATCCCATTTACAGCTACTTTTAATTTATAATGTTACTACATATATATTACATTAATTTAACCTTATATCATGTAAAAAATATGATGAAATCTCCTTTTAAAAATACATGTCATAACTTTTAGTGCTTATATATTAATATCGTAAGATCGAATATGGTAATAAAATTTGGGAAACCGATTCAAAAGGGTACTACAAATATTATACCGGGCCACCTGGCCTGCTTTGTATCAAAAATTTAAAGGGGATAGAGCCGTAACTTTTCTATAGTGAAATGTCTTGTTTGAATTTTCAAAATCATGAAGTATGTATTAATAGAAACATAATTTCATTGTTACAGATGTTCCAGACAATTACTGTAGCAGACTATTCTTCTGAAGTAATCTAATCAACAGTCGGTGATGAAGTTAGCAATTATAACATTCGATGATGGATCTGATAAAAGAAAAAAGAGTTCTAAAGACGACCAGCACACGATACGAATGGAGGTTTGCGGAGAGAAACCTCCTAGTCACATTGTATATAATTTTATGTGCAATTCAATGTAATTGTCTAAATACGGAGCACAGTCAAAATGAAACTATAACCAAAACAGGTGTAAATGTAGATATAAAAGTAGATTCTAATCATTGCCATAGTTGTCAAACTAATAGTAATAAATTTAATAACGATAACAAAACTACAAAGAACAAAATGGCACCTACACAGGCCGAACATTTTGTAGACGATGTTATTATTACCTTAGGTACATTTACGAAAAGATATTTACTTGTTAATACGACTGAAAGCGAGCTTGAAAATGAAGTAGAAAGTATATTTGATAATGTATTAAGGAACGATCGATACCAAATTATCGATGGCGTTGAAATAAAACCAATTGATAAAGAAGAGAAAAGCCAATTACAAGATAGAAGCGCTGCTGTTTCAGAAGGCAGAGCTCTATTTAGTAAATACACATACGAATATAGAATGCTAGAGAAATTCAAGAATTTCGTAGAAAATCATGTTTTGTCAATTAATCTACCAAAAGCAGCTAAATATATGGGTTTTAGATGTAAGTATATTTATTTCATTTCGTATAATGTTTTAATGCCGTTTTCTGCTTTAATATTTTTTTAATTTCGTTCCAATATTTTTTTTTTATTTTATATGCAGAAACAAATATATTCATAAATTTGGAATATAAGTATTTTGTCAATATTTTACTCCATTTTATTTGTGAAATACCTGTATAATATTCAAAGTTATGTTAGGTATTGAAACTCAATATAGATCTCTTTTAAAATAGAAACACCGAATGTAATTAGAAAGTCTTCATTTAAAATAGTACAAAGTAGTAAAAGAATGTACCTAATTGTAGAAACTGAAACAAATGAGTTTAAGAAACTTTGATTCACAGTTCGTGTTTTTAACTTTCAGCATTCGGGCTCAACAAATTTTTTGTACCCTTACTAATTGGGGGACAAGTTTTGATCAAGTCCATTTTATTCGCAATGTTCCTGCCAAGCATCTTGGGAAGTTTTGGCAAGATTCTTGGCAAAGGTAAGCAAGAACAGAAATGCTTTATGTCCATTTAAGGTCAACTTTGCTTTTACGTTACTGTAACTTCTAATTAAAAGTGATTTCTAACAACTCAAAGGAGGAAATTGCTTTGCATCGCTAATACAAACTTGGAACAAACAGTCTGACGCTTAGTTTCTGAAAGCGAAACTTCTTCACAATACTGAGTATTACTGTTAATATCTAATTAAATTTAATCATATCTTTCAAGAAACAAAATTTTATCTTTGATGTATACTGAAATTAGTCATTGAAGGAGAATTAAATGTATACATAGGACATAATAATAATAATCTTGTTGTAATTTTTAGGCTACTTTAATATTATGAATCATTATAAATCTTATTTTATGTAATAGTAGATAGTAACAGTGATATATGTTTTAAAAAAGCGCAGAACTACATTTTTCATAGAAGTTTCGCTTACATGTATAAAGCAATCATAGAAATGTAACTGAATATATTGTCTGTTTGATTTGAGCTCCTTCCTTGATTTGACAGAAAATAACAAAATATGGAACTATATAGGGCATATATTTTTAATAAAATATTGTTTAAATAGTCTTTACTAAAAATCCAAGAAAATAAATAGTGCATTCTTGTACTTTTATGCACGTGTATAGGTAACAATTTTTGCTTTCATACAACAAATATAAAATAAAAATATATCTGTACCTCTGTTAATCCAGACGGGAGGTTAGGGGTATAGTAAACTATCACCGTCATATTGAACATAATACTTAACATGTCCAAAATTTCGTTGAGTATATTTACATCTAACGTGGTAGTGGACGTGTCTCTCGAATTATTTTGGTTTCTTATCATAAAATAAAAACTACGTACAAAGTCTTTAGTATCACACACCCACACTCGAAGCTTTAGCATCTGATTGGATTTTAAATCACTAATTAAGCCATGGCGTTCTAAATTTAAAATATTATTCAATTTAATTTCCAGGTATATCCCAGCTATCAGCTACCTCCAGTCAAGCGAGCTACCCACCAGCAAATACAGATGATCAAGCAGGATACAGCAATGATAACAAGGATTTCATGGGTTACGAGACAAACCCTGCAGGGTCGTATGCATACCCTCAAGACGGCAACGGATTCTACAACGCTGATCCTAATGATAACAATGATTTGTCTAATATCGATATGTCTAGGTAAGTCTGTATTTTTTGTGTTCATATATGGAATGCATTATCATTGTCATTGAGGTTTGGTTTTGTTAGTATTCTACCTAGTTTTTGGCTTGGAATACCCTCTTTGAAGAATAAGTCTTTATATTATAGTAATAAAGTTTCTCTCAACTTATTCAAAACATTGCTTCAAAAAATTTAACGCCAATTTTATTCCCAACAAGTGCATTGGCCATCAAATTTATTCTGCTCTCCAAATTACATTTCCACTTATTTATCCGTTCCGACCAAACATGTAGGCAGATTACCGCCTGTTACAGAAGAAGCCAATCTCGATTATCCAATAATAAGAACAATTTGCAAATAAATTGCCTACCAATGTACGTCGTTCCGTATTCAATTTGTGGATTTCGGCGGCATTTCATCAACCGTTTTACGTGTCTAGTATGTTGTTTACATTCTACCTTTGTTCATTACACCTAAACAATTTCGTATTTAGATACTTCATACGTACGCACGATTTCATTTTACTAATGCTGTAGTTAAGAATTTATATCGATAGATAAATGTGTGTGTTTGTAACAAATATACTTACATTCTTACTGTATAATACAAATCTATTCTTTTTTCGAAATGTAGAGAAAGAGAGCTTTCTGGCATCAACTCTCTGACTCATCAATTTCAGCAGATAACTTTGTCATATTTATTTCGATAGAAGAATGAGAGGAAACATAGGCTAAGAGGCATGACATCTTACTCTACAATGGCAACTTTTGAGTGGTATCACGGGCATTACATAATAATGGGATATACGCAATTCATGTATAGACGACAGATCGATCTAAAGAAAGGCGGTGCGTTAAGCGGCTAGGCCACCAAAGTTAAGCTTGAAAGTATAAAAAAACCCATTCCAAATTTGTTAAAGCGTTTATGTAAGTCGAGGTAGTGCGTTCTTTAAAATATTGGCCTGATATATCCGAAATATGCCGATAGCGAAAATTGAGCACCATTTTATCATGATGCATAAAACCCAACTAGTGTCCTTAACCAATTTGTCAAATCCGATCAAATCAGGCCTACCGATCGGCCGATTTATTCTGTAAAAGAGTTCCAATCTAATGACATCGGATTTCGCTATTTCGTACCTTTTTATACTCTTCCATACTATTTCGAAACTTTTTATCTCACGACATAATATTTTTTTATTTCGTAGTCTGGGTTAGTACCCAGACATTAGTATGTTTCAAAAGGACGGTATAACAATGGATTGGATTAAATTTTATATTGAGAATTAACTCCAGAGTAGACCTCCTGATGACAATCGTATCTGTCTGTGTTTAAAAATATATTTTCTATGTATAAAATGTCGTTAAGAATTTCTATTTATTTTTTTCAGATATGGCGACCAGAAGGCATCGTACCTCCCTACAAAGAATGGATATTACCAGAACCAAATAAATGCGGCTAGCAATAATTATAAGGTAAAATAGCATATGTCGATATCTACCTCGTATTTAGAGGGCCTTTAAAGACTGGATAGAAAGTTAAGATAAATACTATATTCACATCAGATAAAAAACATCGCTCCTAAGAATATCGTTCAATTCCTGTCCCTGACGCGTCTAGGTAGCAAACTCTATAAATGAGTGAGCACAATAGATTCTCTCCTCTTTCCTTTTACATATACTAATATACAGAAACGTTATACTAATATTAGTGGTAGTGTAATTGAATTATAAATGTATTTTAATTTTATTGCAGGTGTTCCATAAAATCCCGGCTTCTTCAATGATATTAAGTAATTATGATCCATTCTACTCGCCTCTTCTCTCGCGGCTTGATGGAATATTTGCTAGACTCGGTAAGTGAATTAATTTTATTAATATCAGTATTAAGGCCCGATCACATAGGTAAAGCGGAAACCTTATATACTCGTCCGACCGTCCAACACGGGCTTCTATTTCAAAACCTACTAACGCTAATGAATTTAAAGTAACATTTTTTAATATTGTTAGCTTAGTTATAATGGAAAAGTCACTGCTCTCAGCTTGCTTTGTGCAGTAAATTTACAGGGTACAGTTGATATAACATCTGCGTCCATAGTACTGTTCATGTATAAGTATAGTAACTGCAAGTTTTACCGATGACCGTAAGCTTGTGTGCCATATAAAGATCATGTACTTCTTCCTTATACCATTCATTTATAGTCAGCGTAATATGATTTTCTCTTCTATTCGTCATCGTTCTGTATAAATAATGATATGGCAAGAAAGGAAGTCAATAACGACATGACTGCACCATGTAATTCACTTCCTTTCTTGCCATATCATTATTTATACAGTCCATCCATCTCCTTTTCGGCTTTACCCTGCTGTTATAATCTTTATTCCTGCGTACATAAGCTTCTTTATCGTATCGCTACATGTCATACATGTTATAGCTATTTATCTGTTTTATGATAATTAAATAGGGTTTGCCTAAAATCTCATAGAGTTTAGTTATTAGTGTTTAACAGTATGTTGAAGTAGCTACCGCTCTAAGTTTTCAACATTAATCTATAGAGTCTCTTTAACGGGGCCTATTCATCAATGTCAAGCGTGACACGGCAATTTATAAACTTCTAATAGCCTGTTAACATAATTTACCAATCGTGCCCAATCGTGCGAACAGAAACCAATCCTTCGAATACCTCAAGTCCTGACTTTTCTATCGGTAACCTACTTCTGTTGAAGGCGATTAATCGATTACGAAACTTACTAGTAATTGAATATGTAACGCTGTATCTTAATTTAATTACAGCCTAGGTGGAGGCCTGGGTGGTCTAATGGTTTAGCACACCGCTTTATGTTCTTTAGCTGTGCCCGCGGATTTGTCTGCGTGAAATTTATAGTCTATATGTTATTTTGAGGTATAAGCTATATTACTGTAAAGTTACATCAAAATCCGTTCAGCGGTTTTTGCGGGAAAAAGTAACAAACATCCATCCATCCATACTCACAAACTTTCTCGTTTATAATATTATTAAGATAAGATTTGTATTTCTGAGTATGAAATTAAATGTAATTTTGTTTGTATTGGTCTGGTTGGAATATAATACTTTCTACCAAAATATGTATATTATAATATATGTTTATTCGGGACTGGGTGCTGGGATATGAATAGTGTAATATAAATTCTGTCATTATTAAACGATAACTTTTTTGACGATTTTATATAATCTTGTAGCGGAACGAAGTTAGCCAGGTCTTGTCCTGTAGGATTACATCCATCTCGCAATTAACTGAGTTCAATCTACATGTAGTCTGAAACATGACGATCTCGTTAATCTGCAAATTGGTGTTTCTTGCTTCGACAAACTCTAACAGCGATTATAGAGTTTCCATAAACCGATATTGGAAATTGCGTACGCCATACAGGCCGAAATTGGTTTCAAGCCTAAACACTGTCTTTCCATTCCTGTGTTAGTTATGTGTACAAAAATAGAATTCATAGTGTAGCATCTTCTATCAGTTTAAGAAGAATAATTGTATTTGACAGAAGATTTGGCAGTACGGTCTTGTATCTTAGCCTTTACAATAGTCGATACATTGTTATATTACTACTTACTATTTGTAATTATATAATTTAATGAATATCTTCTTCAAATAAATATTTTTGTAAATGTGTATGTACACAATAATTTTTTAAAATTACATTTTAACATGCTATAATTATATTCTTGTAGAACTATCCCTAAAATAGTAATGTAATTTTTATTACATAATCAATTATTTGGAAACCACGAACCATATATAAATATATATACTTAAAAGATAATTTTACTTACACAATATACTACTTGATCTTTAATGAATTTTTTTGTTCACTATAAGACTTTCTAATTTCGCTATGAATACCTTAATAAAAATAAACTAAACACCTACTAACTATTTCATCCCAAATTTCACATTTCACACATTTGTGTGGTATCTACCTAGACTAAAGTTAATGCATAGAATTTTTGTCGTAACTTTACTGGAGTAGCATATAATTTTATGTTTAAAATACTTTCACGTTGTAGGTATGTCTGTTTCGTCATCCTTTCATACGACATTCTTTACACATGCCCGAACTAACAAACAATGCTATTATTATATTGTTTTTTTTTTATACATGAACGTGTCTTGTAACTTCTAATATATACCTACCATAAAATACTGTCTGATCCGCGCAACTCTCTATGTGAGTAATATTTCCCCCGTTTTGACTACATTTTTCTTTGTAACTCCTCTCTTATTAGTCAGAGCGTGATTTTATATAGCCTACAATCTTCCTCGATAAATGGGCTATCCAAGATAGGACGAATTTTTAAAATCGGTGTAGTTAATCCAGAGATATCCCCCAAAATCTCACAAAGTCGCAAATTTTACCTCATTATATTTTTTTATTTTATTTTTAGTGTAGATTTATTTGAAAGATTCCTTAATTTACAATTAAATATACTTCTTTTTCAATTACGATTCAATAGAGAATTCAATCATTTCGATTCAAAATTCGAATCTGTTTAAAACAAGAAACATTTACTGTCTTCCATAATTGAATGTTCTATCCTCATTGCCCTAGGTCTGGCCCCGTCGGAGTCCATGGATGACCATGGGGGCATGCAGATTGGGGCGCAGAGCTTGAGCGATGTAAAGCTGGAATCTTGTCGGGAGCAGCTGATCTGCCTCATGTATGCCAGTCCCGCAAAATATGCACCATACAGCAATTTGATATCAGCGCAATTGAGCAGGTATGTATATAAATTAATGGTATAGTTAAACGAGTTTTAATACGAATCATTTTATGGTAAATAAAAGGCTAGTACAAACTAGTCGAAACGTCGATAGATGTAAATACTTTTATGTACCATAAAATTGTTCATGTTAAAACTCTATTAATATCGTTTAACTATTTTAATAATTTGCATAAAATGTTTACTTGTTACATAATGAAATACCAGACAACATAATGCAAGTTGAGTTTTGGGTATCTGTCTTGAAATAAATTTGTAACTTATAAAAAAATAAAATAGCTTTACAATAAACTGTATCTTACTTTATATTTTGCTACATACATAATATATTTTTAAATGTGTTATTCTGTTATATAACCTATATTACTGTAAAGTTTCATCAAAATCCGTTCAGTAGTTAAAACTTTCATGTTTATAATATTAGTAAAATATTTTAATAAGAAAGTTTAACAGCTGTAACACTTGTAGAGAACTGAACGAGCTTCGGCGACCGGTATCCGACAACCCTGAAATCCTGCGGTTCTTCCGATACATGCGGGCGGCGAGGCGCGGGCAGGAAGGTGTAGACTGCATGCGCGCGCATCCTGCTTGTTCCGCCAATGCTGCGCCCGCGCATACCATGATTGCAGCGTACCACGACATAAACAAACTCGTCACTGCTAGAAAGATTAAGAATTAATGAGTAAGTAATTAATTAATGAAATAAACAATAAACTGTTCAATTAAAAAAAAATATTAAATTAAAATAATTAATTTTAAGATTCAGATTTAATGAGTAAGTATTCAATTCTTAAAGTGAAATACACAATAACCCTGGACACTTTACACAGTGCCATTCAGTTCTTACACAAGTGGTAGATACTTAAATAATTTTTTTATAAATGTTATTAAGTAAAACTTACAGTATAAATAAGTTCAGGTCTTATCTTACACACGAACTTATATATGTGAAACATACAAGTGAAAATTAGGTTTAAGATTTACCAGCGTACTTGTAGCAATGGTTCTAAAGCCGCCCGAAAGTATCCATCCATATGAAGTTTTTTATCTTATTTTGAATGGAATAATTGTTTTTATACTTGTATAATAATCATTTGTTTTTTTTTTCAGGCACAAAAAGCGTCGCGTGTTTCTTTCGAGTGAACATTAATAAACCTCCTGGACTTTTGTGTGTAAATCTGAGTGTAAATTATATTATACATTTGACTTACAATTGCTAATATCTTCGTCAAGTTTTTTTTTTATTGCTCAATATCAATTCAGTGCCGGTGTTATATTTTATTTAATAATAAAATTGTTCTGAAGTAAAATCAGTGTATAAACTAATATATTTATATGGTTGTCTATTTATTTATCTGGATGGATCTTAATGAAATTTGTTGTGAAGATAGACAAGCTATCTACATAACGAAGATGGACATACTTTATCCTTAGTCTAAGTAACAGGCTACTGTTATATTTTTTACTTAAAACCTATTTAAGAACGTATAGGACGCTCTCAACGTTAAGACGTTATTATATTCTATTCAAAACTAGATTTTTTTTAATTAATTTAGAAATTATTATAATTAAAAAAAAATACGTCCATAAACGGCTAAAATGTCCTATATAAATAAATTATTTTTGATTTTATTTGTACAGTTATATAAACACTTTAATACTATGTCACTATAATTTTACTATACAATACTAGTATTTTTGCATAAATTTTCAATAAATCATTATTAAGACCAGACATAAGAATATTTGCATAAAACAAAAACTATATTTTACTATATAATATATTACTAAAGGCAGACAAAAACTTGTCCGTTTTATGGCTTAATTTATCAAAATGGCACTTAGTGACTGTAAAGGGAGAGAACGATAAATTAGTTCATTAATTAATATTTCTTACTTGCTTGTAATTTGATTTATATCGACTGAGTCACTGTATTATATAATTAACAAAGAAAAAAATCTTTACTCATATAAGTATTATACTTCAGATATTAACGAGAACTCATATCTACAATCAGTTCGTATTGTCGTTTAAGCGGAGAAGAACTGAAAAAAACTGCTCTAACTCTTTGATGAAATGAGACTATACATGGTGACAATAATTCTTATTTCCTTATTAATGTTATAAATGCAAAAGTAACTCTGTTTTTCTGTTTATCTCGCTTTCACGTCAAAACTACTGAACCGATTTAAATGAAATTTAGTTCACATATAGTCTAGATCCTGAGAAAGGACATAGGCTTCTTTTTAATGCGAAAAAAGGATCGAAAGTGGAGATGAAATTTTATATCGAAGTATTGTCATTTTTAAAACTAGAAGTTTAAATCTTATTTTTTAGGCTGTTGATTAAAAATAAATTAATATGACATTCAAAGTTTATAGAAATGTTATTCATAAGGGGATAAAATAAAATAGGGGATGAAAGTTTGTATGGAAAATCATCATTTTTGAAGATAGACTGATGAAGCTTTTTTCTTTGCCTTTTCTGGGTCAGATTATTTAATATTTTATATTTACTTCGCCAGGGTCACTATTACACGCTGACGAAGTCGCAGGTACAGCTAGTACAAATATAAAGTAAATAGCTGCTACCACCCACATAAATCTATTAAATTTATGTAAAAAAAAAAGAAAAGATAACAATATAATCTGCAGACAGCAAGGCCACGTACGAGTAGTATCGCAGGTCCACATGATAACGTGATGTCTGTAGTACTACTCAGGTATATAAGCGACGGTTACCACCATCAGGTGTTCCGTCAGCTTATTTACCATTTCAATAAGGTAAAAAAGCCTTAACCTGAACAGGTTAGGTAAACCTGTCCAGGTTACTGCTAAATCTAAATAAAGCAAGAAGTAACCTGTTCATTTTAAGGCCTTAAGATTTAAACCTTGTAAAGGTATAATGATTCTAAAAAATGCATTTTTATTTGAATAAAATTAACTAATTATAATATAAATAAATTTATTTATTAAAAACAAGGCTATGCGTTGCAAAAAAATGTAATTGCAATTATAAATGCATAACGACGAAGAGATGTTAAAATAATTAAAACACGAATTTGTGTAATAGTTATTCTTACTTAAGTTATTTATTATGTGTGTATGACTGTAATTTATTGTATGAATGTGTGTAAGAGTTTGCACTATACCGTCTACTTATTTAATTTACACTTACACCTGTTTTTTTTTTCTAGAAGAAACACATAAGTAACTAATTTAATGTTTTATTTTGTATTAATTGTTTATATTGTTTTTTATTATTTTATAATGGTGATTGTTTATTCGACGAAGCTCTTGCAAATTATAGAAATAAAATGGATTTTTGTATGTAAATAACTGGAAAGAAAAATATACAATATTTCTATTGGTTGCAAGGTATAATTTCAGTTGGTCATTTTGCATTTTCCTTTTTAGCGTAGCGTAATTTATTTTTTGTTTGTTTATTGTTTTGTGAATATATTTTTGTAGTCATATTGCTTAAAATGTCTATAAAATTATAATAAACTACTAATATTTTTATTTACTAAATCGTTTTATTTTTCTTACTTCTAGCTATATTTTCTTATACCGAAAGCATGTAAGGATTCTGTTATGTTTTGTCTAACAAAATATAATTAAATATATTTTATTATTGCAAAAATCTAATACAATATTTTAGAACATTGATATATAATATATATTGGAATTTATAATTATGCGCATAATTATAACTATCCAATATTAAAAATATATATATAACATTTTTTTTATATTAGTAAGCATTTGACGGCCGATATGTATCAGTGGAAGATACTCTTCCGATCACAGATAATGAGATGAAGGTTAATAATTTATATATATTTCATTTTATTTCATCAGTTAGTACCTACAGTATTCATAGTACAGTTTTAGTAATATGAACTATGAATCCATTGCTACCAATATGCCATGTATTGAATTTGCCACGATGGGCTAGCTGACCTCATGTTCATCTTATCATCATTCATTGGTGCCCCGTCAGGGTAAATCATTTATGGGTATTAGACAACTGATATAAATACCTAGTTTTTTTTTAATTACATACATAATATACATACAAAATACCCAGACCAATACAACCAATCATATACACGAATACAAATGTTTGCACCGTGCGAGGAATCGAACCCACGACCATCGGTAAAGCGGTATGCTTAACCGGTAAACCAACGAGGCCGTCAAAAAAATATTAATCTCTGCTTTTGAGACTAGATTGCTCTATATATGTCTCTGATGATTTAAATATATAATAGTGATTCATACTGTAAGATGATAATGAATAAGAACAGAACAGAATCCGGGAAGTGTCTAAACGCACTAAATGTCCCCACCAATTTCTTCTTAGAAAGTTGGACTAAGATGCACCGTCGTATATTCAAACGTAAACAATAAGAAACAGAGTTGAAAATAGTATAACATAATATAGTATGAGTCATGATAATCGTCATTTTATTATATAAATATTTTTGTATGTTTTTCGGTCAGTGTTGCAAATAAATGTGCCACGTTATTCTCTAGGGGTCATCGCACTTTTCTTTATAAAGGTCGTCACTTGTCAGTGAACCTAGAATTTTTAACTATGTTTACTTTACATTTTACTAGTGTATACTATTGCCGGAAAGTTAATAAAAAGATGAATATGATTACATGTAGTGTTATTTATATTAGTGTTATTTAATTTCTATTTAAATGAAATATTAAAAATATAGAGATGAACAACATTTGTTTAAAAGAGCAGTAGACAAGTTTCTTCACCTCACTGTGGAATCACCTACCAGTAATGGTATTTCCGAACTGATACGTTATGGAAACCATCAAGAAAAGTGCTTATTCCTTCTTAAAAAAGCAGCAAAGCACCTGCAATTCCCCTAGTGTTGCGGGTGCAGTAATCAGTTACCACCCGAGAAGCCTCAAGAGCGTTTGGTTTTTTTTTTCAAAAACACAGGGAAACCTGGTTAAATAGGATCTCAAGGGACCGAGAATTATTTACCAATTATATAGGGTATCCATTAATCTTTTTATCTCGTTGTTTTTAATAACTCTAAACAGGGTTGACTTTTATATTGTTATACTCCCTACACAGTTCATCATACGACTTTCCACAATAATCTGATAGAAATTGTATGTTTTTAGATGCTGATAACGTTTTATATTAACATTTGAATATTTTGTACACTTTTATTCCCTTGTTTTTAGGCCAAAACCTGAAATAGTACAGACAAACAAACCATGTGCAAAAGACATTCAAATGTGTATAAAGAAACGTGTCAAAACCTGTCTGAAAATTGAGCTACAGAGTCCTAATAATAGAGGTTAACATAAAAAAATCTTAGCATACAAATCTCATTTAACCAGGTTTAAAAAGTCCCACTAACAGAGGTAATTCAAAGAAAAAGTACCGGGACCTCATTGCAACTCTCAATAATAGAGGTCTCACTTATCCAGGTCCAACTTAACCAATTTTCACTATACCTATCTATTTTTTTTAATCACGTTACGGGCACAGTTAATTCTATAATTCCATATCACGTTACTGGTATACAGTATTGAGTATGTGAATTAACGCAGTTTAATTGTAGTTATGCCGATTAGTAGTTTCATAACATTAAACTCCAAGGTCTGAGGGAATACCTGATGATAGTTACTTCCATGAACTAAATTATGAAAGCGTCAACAGGATCCGAGAGCAAAACAAAGCATGTCAATTGTAGAGATGGCTTATTTTTATTTATTTAACAACCGTCGCACACTCCTTTTGCTAATACGAAGTATAATACTAAAATCCTATATGTATAAATTGCTATAACTTATAACCATATCTTAAAGGTGTATCATAGTGCATCAGCTTAAAAGAATATAGATTTAAAATCGTTGTACGCTTGTGTACAAAATATAAGAATTTTTATTTTTAATACATGCGTGTTTACATAAAGAGCAGTAAGTATGTATATGTTTTTATTTATGTGAACGATAATCTGTGCTTTTTATATATACTATCAGTTATATAGTACTTATATTGTGTACAAGCTCTGCTTAGCATGTGACTAGACGCTACCTTATTCGTTCTGTTATATTATCAAGACTTGGTTTATATATTTTATTATCATTCGAATTGAGTAGTAATATATCAGTTTAGCACAGCATTATTACTTGTTAAAACACCCTATAGACACGCTGTCTTTTGTTTGTATTATTACAGCTTATATGTATTCATTCGGATTCAATTGCAATTTTATATCGGAGTTTGTATTACAGTAATGACTAAAAACATATATCTATGCACCTAAAAGCCAAATATTGATTAAGTTTACTAGAACACTTAATTTACTTACGTGCTTTCTGTATCTGAAATCTATAAAACAGATAATTAATTTGAAGAAAAGTTTGTAAAATATTATTTAAAAAAGCCTACTCTATACTTGTTTGCCTATGAGCATTCGCTGGGATACCCCACATTGCGTTAACTTCATTCAAACTCTACGTTTATTAAAGTTTACCTCAAATCAAATTCGCCTTTAAATCTATGGCTACAAGATATATTTTAATCTAACTGCTACGCAGTTTAAACCACAATCGTGGTTCGGAAGAAAGCCTTCACAAAGTTTAAGAGTATTCGATCTTACTGTTTTCTTTTTAAGGTTGAATTTAATTTGCTTATTGATACAGGGTTAGATTTGTACAATACGGATCCAAGAAGTTTATGCAATTCTTATGTTGTTATATTATATAAGATTTTCTTTGGTCTGGCCATTCGGGCTTGCAACGCTTAGTGCACTGTACGCGAACTAGTTTAACAACCTGGCTTCTAATTGAATAAAAGGTGAGTGTTTTAATTATAATAACCGTAATAATAAAAAGTTTTTATATATACATACTTAGTGAACCTATACGTTATCGTGGATACTGAAAAATGTGGAAGATACCCCTTTTTGACAACACAAATACAAAAATGTCTAGTGAGTAATTTAAATAAATAAAAAAAATAAAGAAAGCTGAATTAATCATTGATCAATTAGACTTATCAATCAGCTATACAAAGAAACAGTCTCTTATAGTCAATCTTTAGTTTTAGGATTCCATAACAAGTGTTCACATTAAAATAATATATTATATATCAGATAATAAAAGTTGTAAAGTAAAAAATGTTGGATATGGTACATAACTAATTTGAACAAACGTTGGCGCAAACTATTGTACCAACCATGATTTCCAAATATTTGCACTCACAGAATTCAACATGTTATTTTGTGCAAGTGAAGCACGCAACATATAATATAAGTTATCATAAGTTTAATGTGCACTCAAAGTTCGATATGGACCAATTCTCGCAAATATTTACTCAAACTGTGGTATAGGTACTGATCAAAGCTCGAATACCGGTATCATATAGGATTTAGTACATATTTGCATATTTGAAGTTGTCTGGCATCGGCTCTATATCTCTTGTTTTTGATCTTGTATTCGATTTATCAAAGACTCATCTTCAATTATTTTTAAATCTTTTAATAATGTCTATTATCCTGAGTGTTTTACAAAATAAATGAAAAATCAACTGGGTTCTATAAACCTAAAATTATGAATATTTAACTCATATCCAAAAAAACTCTTTATTTTAATTATTCTTAATTTTACTTCGTTGTAATTGTAAAATTCTTTATTTTGACGAATTGTGAAAAATCCTGCATATAACTTTAGATCTAAATTAATAGAATGACAATATTTCAATGTATGGAAACATAGAAAAAACGTTTTGTTATACGAATATTTATTACAATCAGTAAATGTTTAGTACATATATTCGCTTATATTATTAACTCCCTTCATAAACAAACTAACTATGTCATGACACGAGAAGATAAAAACCATCGTTCCTAAGAATATCCTTCAGTTCTTATCCCTAACAGGTTTACGTAGCGAACTTTCAAACGACCACTATAGATCTGCATAAGTCGTCTATAACATCTAGCAATAACACAAACCCCTTAATAGGGGGGAAGGGGATTGTACCCCATTGCTAGCAATGTACCATGTCAGGTCGACCTCCACGCGGTTCCCCCTGGAAACTATCGTGTTAAATTCCTGATGAATTTGCACGATGGGCTAACTGACCTGACCCCATGCTCATCTTATCATCCTCCACTGGTACCATCCCCGCTAGCGTAAACGCAGGCGGATGAACCATTCCATTATCAACCCAAAAAAAAAACCCCTTAATAAAATTAAAATAGGCATGTCACGTATGTACCTATTACACTATCCTTCGGAGCCATTAAAATATTCACAAACGAACTAATATACTTCGTTTCTTTGTTCTGAAACGCAGTGAAAGTGAACATCCTTACTGGACTTCAATTGTTCTTTTTAGGTCAAGTCCGTAGATGTCTGAATCACTAGTTACATAATGGATGTGACATAATCTGTATACAGGGACCAAATACTAAAGTCGAACGTAACCTGCTTACAAATAAAATTGGGGGTAACTGATGGCGCTTAATTTTCGCAACATCCTGTTATGGATAATGTTATTGATTACGTATTGATTTTAATTGAGTGGAGTGCTTCTTAGAGCATACATAGAATCTTTGTAACGTTGCTCTTCCGAAACGGCTTGACCGATCGCGACCAAAATTTCAATGCAAATCGGCATTAAGGTCTCCATTGTTTACTATTTAAAAAATCTGATAAAGATATTTATTTACCGATCTATCAATTAAAGTAAAATGCAATACACAAACTATCTTTTTCAGAATATCTCAATTTTTACATTATAAAAATAGTAATTTAACTCCTTGAGCAGTTTTATATTTGCGATAACTAAAGTAACTCTATTTGGATTTAACTCTGTCTGGAGGTCTGTCTGTCTCGCTTTCATGCTATAACTACTAAAGACTTAAATTAAAGTTGTTATACAGATTGTCTAGACCCAGAGAAAGGACATAGACTACTTTTTAATGCGAAAAAAGGGTTGAAAGGTTGTAAAGTGTGTTGTGGAAGTAATGTATTTTAAGCTAGAAGCTTGATCTTATTTTTTATGCTGTTAATAAAATATAAATAAATATGTAAAGTTTCATTAAAATCAATCAGTAGTTGTTGCGTGAAAGACTAACTAACATCCATCCATACTCTTAAACTTCCGCATTTATAATATTAGTAAGATGCATGTGCAATTATAAATAAATAAATAAAACGATGTTATCAGCTGCTAGTTACTGTTATACCATATCCACAACTAAGCGTAAGTTTTTTCATACATCAACACCGCGACGGTCATGCAATTCCTTAACCAAATCACGTGTAGACTTCTCCGAACAAAGCATTTCAACAATAAGTTGCGTTGCAAACAGAAAAATGGTTGAAATCATTAATTTTTCATGGCTCCTTTAATAAAACTTTGTTTACTGCGCCGTAAAGCGGCGCGTGACTGAAATACGGCCAGAATTTAAATTGAGGGAATATTCTACCCAAATGCAAGTTCTTGCTAAACAAAGTCCGGCCTAAAGGGCCATTCTCACTGGCTTTTATGAACATCTGCGGTGGTAATTAACAAAAAATGCTCAATTAAATTAACAAAAGATGAGATGAAAAGTCATTGTATTCGTATTGTAAGTTGTATTTTATGACCGTATTTGTTTAAAGTTTATTCGTGTTTTTATACGGATCAAATCGTGCAGATAACTTTTTCACTTGTTCCTGTTTAATACATACATGGTACATAGCTTTCATAACCTCAGTCTTAGTTTATTTTATTTGTTTATTATTTACAAATTTACAACCTTTACAACTTAATCTACCTAACCTTAACCCCTCCGATCGATCCCCCGTCCAATTCAAACGGGGATCGATATTACGACCGCCTGAGCCGAGATTCAAACCCCCTAGTGGTGCCCTCAGACTAAAGTCGTATCCATCAGGCAGGAGTTTGCCTTCAGCCGCTTCATAAGTTCTTCCGCGGGTTTGGAGTGCCATCTGCACTCGCCCCCTAACGTCCGGTGAAGCTGTAAAGGCCCGCTGCGGCCAACAGCATTAGAGTAGTCCGAAAAAAAAATCCTAACCTTAATTTACCTTTACAACTTTTTTTTTTTGCTGATTCTGATAAGTGATTAGGATGTGCCTACATTTGTAATGTTTCTGTCAACACTTGAGACCCTTCCTTTAGTTTACGTCTTCCTTTAGTTTAAGTCCACGTTACGACTCTGCGTCGAATGTACTCGATACTAATAAGCCATATGCCCACCACCAAATAAACCTGCTAATCTATACATATAAATAAAATTGGAGTGTCTGTTTGTAACATTGAAATAGCCATATGAATATAAATACTGTACATACACCAAAAAACCACATTTTACAATTTTTGTCTGTCTGTCTGTCGGTCTGTTTGTTCTGGCTAATCTCTGAAATGGTTGGACCGATTTTAACGGGACTTCTTTTGGAAGGTAGCTGATATAGTAACGAGTAACTTAGACTATTTTTATTTTAGAAACACTATTTTTTATTAGTAACATAAAGTTAATTCCACGTGGACGAAGTCGCGGGAACAGCTAGTGTACAATAAATAGTACAATTATTTCACCGGTCTACTCACTACAACATATTATGTAGCGACACCTCATCTCATCATATATAACGCTACAGTGGTAAGGAGATAACAACCACGCTACAAGGAGATTCCAGAGTAAAACCTAATAAAAATCTTAAAGTCCAAAGAAAAACATTTCTGCGTTATAAATAGCCATGCTCAAGTTCCATGGAGGAAATATATGTAACCAACAATTTAAAAATGAATAATCGAATTCTACATGAAAAGAAAAACTTATTATTATATTCATATTAAAAAAAATATCGGCAGTTCACAATCTTGTCTGAAAGTGTCTTAACTAAAACTTAACACAGTTACCCATTGAATATAAAGTTTTACGAAGTTAGTTTTGTACCGAAACTAACAACTACCAAGAGGAGTGTCCCTTTTAGACCGTTTTATATTTATTTATCCCATATTTATATGTATTTGTATTTTATTTATATATTTTATTATATATATTCATCAACATTGCCTTGCATTTATCTCATTATTTGGGATCCGCACATTATATCTTCTTCTTGCTAATCACTTTATCTATTTAAAAAAACCACATCAAAATCCGTTGCGTAGTTTTAAAGATTTAAGCATACATAGGGACGGACAGACAGCGACAGCGACTATGTTTTATACTATGTTTTAGTTCATATACATACATTAATGCTATACCCATTAAAATCAATAAAATAAATATTTCCTATCTATAATAACTGTAATTATTATAATAATGTAATTGAGGAAGTTTTCTTGTTCAAAATCGCAAACTTCAACTACTATTACAGAATGTTCTAAGATAAATTCTTTCGCCTACTCGCAAGTAGATAAATTAGTTTAGGCATAAAATATATCCACTTCTACTTAACTTAATCATCGGATAGTGCTCGATAATGTAATCAATAATGAAATCCAACTACATCTTCCAAGTAAATTGAACAAGGCTCGTGGCATACAGACGGAAGGAAAACTAATAATAAACCACTAAGATGATAAAGTAAATAGAAAGCATGTGATCGTATTTTTATAAATTCACGCGTTTGAATTCCCCGATGGTTTGGTATTCTGCTTCACTTCTAAGTGGTAAAAGTTCGATTTCTATGTAACACAAACATTTTAATCCATAATTAAATATGTCACTTTGAGCTGATATGATGAAACTCTTAACGAAATCGTGTGCTCAAAACCTTTGCTTTACGTAGAAATAAATAAAGCAAAGGTTATGAGCACACGATTTCGTTAAGAGTTAGGTTTGAAAGGTGAGAGACAATGCTATTTTTTTATTTATTGATATCAGACTACTAGGCCCATATTATAAATACCTTATAGATATGAATATGACTATTCCATAAATATGAATTAACATTGTAATACTAATATACTTCACCCCGGTATGGGTCCATACCGGGGTGAAGTATAGGGGGTTTGTTAGTAATGCTAGTAATGTTTTGTGAAAAGAACCTCCACGCGGTTCTTTCTTAAAGCTATCGTGACATTTTTGGCGAATTAGTCACAATGGCTGACTAACCTGACCTCATATTCATCTTATGATCTGACACTGTAACCCCGATAGTGTAATCGTCCGTTGTTAGCGTTGGCGGGGCACCATTCCTCTCCTTATCCTTATTTATCCCTATTATATCTCTCCTTGAAATGTTTTTTCTCTCGCCTTTATGTCTTTTCGTCGGTATACAGACCTTAGTCCTGAAGAATGCCAACATATTAGAGGCACGACAATGTATTATGTGATACTGTCCAGAACTGACTTTTACCATTCCTCTTTTTTTCTCTTCTTTTACCAGCGCAAAACCGAGAAGGGCAACTAGTTTATTACAATAATATGATTAATATAACATTTCCACGTGACTCGTGTCACGTATAAGGAGTACGTGCTACAATTCATGAGTTCCTACCTCCAATCGCAAATTAATTATTCCTATTTTCTTTTTTTGGCAACAAATCGCTTTAACCGTTAGGCGGCCATGTTGCCGGAGAACGCAGTCGGCGACCGATATTCGTGCCTCTCGCTCGCACGCGTACCGCTCCGTTACGTGCGCGCACGCAACCGTTTTCCAACTAGCGTGATTGTGGTGACACTGTGTTTGTAATGTACTGTGATTTCTATGTTTGTTTACAGGCCTATAAGCATTTTATGTGTGAGTCTTATCATGAATTGAATACTTTCTCGATATATGAATATTATGTTATTACGGATAACGTGTAACGATTAGAACTATAACTTATTACTTATAAATTTGACAATTAATACTAATTAAGTTATTTACTGCTTACATTTTAATATTACTTAAAACTGTTGCATGTATGTATATATAGATATATAAGATTATAGAGATACTTATGTAATACTTTTTAATCACATATAAATCATATACTACGGTCTGACCCAAACAATTAATAATAAATATTTATTTACTTTAGTCAGTTTTTAGCAATAAATAGAGTGACAAGAGGAAGGTTTATATTATGTGTACTGTATGATACATATATATGCCTGCGAAGCCGGGGCGGTTATATAGTCACTTATAAAGAACAAATAACATTTCGATTAATAAAAATAAAACTGATTCATAAAAATATTGTACTTGTATTGTGATATATAACATAGTAATATAGCTGTTCCCGGGACTTCATCCGCGTGGAATTTAACTTCATATTTCTAAAATAAAAGTAGCCAGAGTTACTCTTTATTACATCAGCTACCTGCCAAACAAAGTCACGTCAAAATCGGTCCACATATTTCAGAGTATATCCGGAACAAAAATTGTAAAAAAATGTTATTTTGGTATATGTACCGTATTTATATTCATAGGCATGTAGTAAAAAACGGTTATTTCAATATTACAAACAGACACTCCAATTTTGTTTATATGTATAGATAATAAATCAGTAGGCCATCAAATACTGAAATTGTTGCATATTCTATTATAATAATATACGCAACAGTTACTACCATATATTATATATTCTGTGGCATAACAACTGTCACTTGCTACTCAGCAAGTAACCGGTACTACGGCTCTTAACTTTGCAATATATAATGATTACATTACATAATTTGGTTAAGTTAAATACCACTCTTTTAAGTCGGTTAAAAATTTCAAACTGTACTAAAAATACTCACATATTGACCATATCATATATAAAATGGTTTAACATCATATATAAAGATTTATTCATTTGAGGTGTTTGCACTTTTCTTTTGATTATTTCACTTGATTTTAAAAGAAAATTTGTATAAGATTCTTGAATAAGAACAGTGTAACTTTAACGTCTTTTATTTCCATATATTCTTATATGTAATAAAATAGTCAAATCGTGACGAAATTAAATATATGACATAAAATTAATATAATATATAAAATAATATAAAAATATCTCTGGACTATTCACACAGCGCTATTCAGTTCCAAGTTAACCAGAGTTTATGTTATGGGTACTAGACTTATACATATATAGAACACACCCAGATACCAATACAAACGCACATATTCAATAATACATGTTTGCATCGTGCTAGGAATCGAACCTGCGACCGTCGAAAGTAAAACAATGTGTAAAACCGCTAAACCACCGAGATCATCAAATTACTTAATTACTCAAGCGCGAAGCTGGTGTGAGTAATATCTAAAAATACGCAAGACGGAGTAAAGCCATTTTTATTTCAATTAAACACATTCTAGAAATTAATACTATTAACAGTTTAATCCATACTAATTACAAAAGCAAATGTATGTCTCTCTGTCTCCCCGCCATTTTGTTTATTATATTTCGACGACAATCTGTTAATGAAAATCAATATTAGATTGTATTACGAGGATGGTTTATTACCATTTACTATAGGCTATCTTATGTTTAAACAAAATCAGACCAAGGCACAGGAAACAGCTAGTGAAAATATATAGACTTTCGCCATTGAATCATGACGGGCATTGCTCTGTGCTAGCAGTATTGTGCAGTAGAAAGTGACACCCTTAGGGTTGTCTAATAATTAGTCTGGTTGCCTTTATAAATAACTTGCTGTGCCGGTGGCTTGCTGTCACGCGTGAAATTTATAGCCTATATATTATTCTGATGTATAAGCTATATGACTGTAAAGTTTCATCAAAATTCGATAAGTAGTTTTTGCGTGAAAGAGTAACAAACATCATTACTTACAAACGTTTGCATTTATAATGTTATAATAAGATTAAGATAATATTTAAGACAATTCACACAGCGCCACCTAGGCCTAAACTAAGCAGAACTTGTGTTATGGGTACTAGAGAACTGACGTATACACATAGATAACTTTTGTTAGTATCGCATTTGCCAGTACCACGTGGTGGTCGATCTGATTTGTTAATATTGTTAGCAATGGGGCCAAAGTCCCCATTACCAAGAAACCCTTCCACTCTATATTATATGCGTTCGAGTGTATATTCCAAATGACACGCTTTATAGTTTAATTTTAAATTGAAGATAGAATATTATTCCTACCAATGATCAAGTGAATATGGTTTGACAAAACTAATATCTAACAATCTAGTTAATTAAGTTTCCTAATATCAAATATCAATATAAATAAATACTATTGTTTCTTGCAATTGACAACCCTTGATTTAAGTAAAAGTAGGGAGCTGGTACAGGTGTAATCTCTGGGGAGTTCTAACTTAATATAAGGGAACATCTAATATTATTTTAAGTACGACCTTCTTATAATAGTAAAAAAAACTTTTATAAATAAATTAATAAATGTAGAGTAGTAATTGCTAGTTAAAACATTAGGTTTAATCAAAATTCTGTCCTTTTTCAGGTTATAGACCGCTAGGATGTTAAACCAGGCTCGATGGTTGATGCTCGTAATTGCAGCTGCCTTGGCACTGCAGACCCATGGCGACGGCGGAATCAGGCTACCTGACCAGCCTCCAAAAGAAGACGTAGAAGGCCGATCTTTGAACTTCGGAGGAGATCACAGTAGATCGGTAAATAAATGTTTCCTATAATCTATGTCTTAACATATGTAAATCTTACATTAAACTCCTCCAAAACAACTAGACCGATATTGAGGTAATTTTATGTGTATATATCAAATAGTTTATTTCAATTGGAACAATTTTTATTTATAAATTGTTTTTTGAATGTTGATAAGAATATATGATACTTATCTGTGAGAGCAATCCAGATATATTATAAATAACATTAACAGTTTAATTTAACTGTACGAATTATGTTAATTTTAATTTAATAATTAAGTTATGAGTAATACTGTAAAAAAATTGCACACCTGTATGCAGGCTCAATACATTGGACACAATATTCAATATTATAATACCAGCTTGTAGGCTGTATTCTGCAAACAAATAAATGAAATAAATGATTTGGAAACACTATTTCCCCTGATAGATGGCACTGTTTTACTAGGCAGGATGCGACAGCTGGGTCAGCCAGTATATAAATGAAATAAACCCTTATTTTCCTTGGTCACGCTATACCTATAAAGCGACTTAACTGATCGCATTTAGCATTTTTTATTATTTCTAATCACTTGTACAAGGTACTTACAGAACTAATAAAATAGAAGACTAGAAAACGCGGAAATGAGTCTGCGTATTCAAGACAATATCCGTTAGATCAGCTAATCAGTAATAAATTTTTATCAGTAGGCATGCTGAAAATAAATTTACCACCTCATAACTGTATGGTAACGAAGACACATGACACACTAAATATTCTGGAATATTCTAGATTAAAGACCAGATAAGACTGTGATATATACTAATAAACTTGATGGTCTTCAAGCAATTATTAACTTTTAAAATTCTTTAATTATCTTTTCTAATTATGTGTTTCTTCAGCCTCAAGCTCAAGGACGAGGTCTGCTGGACTGGTTAGGTCTCGGAGAAGACCAAGATCCGTACATTCAGCAGTCTACCCAGCAATGCATCAATGGAGATCTGGCTGATTGTTTCAAAGCACAGGCTCTTAGATCTTTTGACGACTTCTTCGATAAACAAGCATACCAGTAAGTATCAATATAAATAATAATACTTTATAATCTACACAGGGCCATCTAGTTCCAAGTTAACATCCAGACCAATACAAACAATCATACTCCTAAATATAAATGATTGCACCTTGCGAGGTATCGAACCCGTGACCTTCGGAAATTAAGGCGGAGTTCTAAACCGCTAGATCACCGAGGCCGGATAAGGTTAGATGGTAGAGTGCGGTGTATGATCACGCGTGGTTGTACAGCATGGGCGATCAATTTGTAAAAAGGGGTGCATAATTTTTGCACATAATAGCTAAAAAGGAATAATATAATCTAGAATTTATAGTTTGATATCAGCCAAATTTTGTTTACAATTTTCAGACTCTCGGAGAATGCTGTACTCGTCAAAGTGGAATCTCAGGCTAGGGCATTAGCACATGAACCACCACAGCTGGCGTCTCAGCCTCGCAGTGAAGATTCGGACTGGGATGCTCTTGTTAAATATGGAATGAGGAAAATTGAAAGGTACTTTTTCACTGCAGTTAATGGTTCTTATAATGTAATCACGACATGAGAGACGAACTTCTTAGCATTCCATAGATTCATCGTTCACCCACACGGTCTCCCATCGTGTGGCAGAGGGAAACACAGAGAAGTTCCCGGGACTTGTGAGTCAGGTGTAGGATTAAGGGGCTCACCGTTACCGCTCGTGTTTAGCCAAAACTGGTAGGAGCCTGCTAGTGCTGCTTTTGACACACTTTCTAGTAAAGAACACACCATCACTATCAAAATGTTCGACTATAATATACAACTAAGAAAGAGATACATAGGCTTTAATATTATTAGTAAATTGTTGTCACCTTAGTGGTATAAAAAAATGTTCTGTTCAAGATGTTACTACACTTGTAAAATTTAGTTACTCTTTATACTGGAATGGAAGCCTTAGTATTGACTCAAGTACAATGCAATTTACGATGTGGAAAATTTTACTTTACTTTGAGAGTTTAGAGTACAATTCAATTTGCAAGTTTACATTTCACTGAACAAACTTTGCTCGAAATAGAAGCAACATTAAACGTGTTACATCAATTAATTGTAACACTTGAACGGCTGCACTTTACTGAACTCTATTTACTACATTAATCTCAGTTTATATCTACTTTTACTTGAAATTAAAGTTATAGAAGGAGAAATATTGGACAGATAAAAGTTTTTTAAACCTTATCTTAATATATAATTCGACATTATATCTGATGGTAGTGAGAGCCATCGTCTATATACATAAACAACACTACGAATATCGGGACATCATGCGACAAATGCGATACCTCTTAGGCGTTGCTATTCCGGAGCACTAAGATATCACGCCTTTATTCAGTAAATTGTTGGCTTAACTTAACTAACTTAACACAACCCTTCATCCGCAATACAACGTACAAAGCTATCAGCTTTGTTGGCCGAAATAGATTAGACTGGAAAAGTACCTTAGTCTAATCTATTTCGAACAACGAAATGTGAAAAAAAATATGAAGAGTCTAATGAAGTATTTAATGACTTCGCATGAGAGGCAGGCGTCACATAATAATATGATGTTCGTAGTTCTGTCCATGTATGTATATAGGCGAAGGTTCCCACCGACAATGTTCCTAAAAACCACCTACAAGGCTCATATTATGAATGGGAACTTAATATTATGTCACATTATTGAAACCTCAATGCGCAATATTCGCAAATCGCAAATTGTAAAAATGATATTTACTTAATCGTGCATGCATGTTATGAATATCATTTCAATTGATCGTAGACATGAATTGGTATAAGCTCCGTATATGTGCACTCGTACATTAAGCGCCATGAAAGCCTCTTTAGTTAAGACATGTATATCATTATATTCAAGTTTCCCACAACCGTCTCAAACTAATGCTATTTACGGGTAATTCTCGCGTAATTAGTTGGTAATTGTACGTGTAATGGATTACCTCTGCCGTATATGTTGTAATAGATAATTTTGGAGGCAATAACAATTACTGTATTTCGGTTAAAAGGTGAATACGACAATGAATTGCTGGTGACATCCCTGAGTCTGTGGTAAAAGTCGCAGTTTGGTCGCCAAACTGTCAACACTAGACTTCTAAGCTACATCCGAACTCTATGCAATTCCTAATGATACGTTCATAGGCGAAACGCATATCAAAGTATGGGTGTACACTCAATAACTTGAAGGACTTTCGCAAAATGACACCTAATTCGATAAAATATATCCGTGATATTCCTCAGGTGTTGTCATTCTGGATGAATAGTACATTCATCTATATAGGCGACAGTTAACGGTTATTAATTATAGTAGGCAGCTAGCTTCATTACGAATATAATTGAAAAGAAAAGATATATTGAATGTATATTCAATTCAGATTAGTTAAATCCTAGATGTTGTTCGCTTGATCGACGTTTGTCACAAATCAGCTTGAGTTTCCAATGCCTTCAAAGCAAATTGAGAACAATGGAATTACTGGAATATAAGACAAAAGGTCGCAAGCATTCATAGTACGAGGCAGATAGTGTGCTTTACCAATGAAACATATCAATTGCCTCCTTGGTATATTAGAGAATCATACCAACAAATGTTACTAATATTATAAACGCGAAAGTTTCTGAGGGTGGATCGATGTTTGCTACTGTTTCACGCAAAAATATTAAACGGATTTTCATGAAACTTTACTGTAATATAGCGTATACGTAATAGGGGAATCAAAATAACTCATAAGGTATCATACCTTATGAGTTATTTTGATAAAGTGATAATATGTTAATTGGGCGAAATATAATGATAAATATTAAGTATGATGCAGAGAAGTTGCGTGGGTCAGCTAGTCTACATATTTTTTTAGATACATTTGTGACCGAAGCTAGTTTTTTTAAGAATATATAAAATAAAATCTTTAGTAATATGCAACAAAAAAAAACACGAAAGGACATTTTAAAATAGTAACATAATAAAGGCACAATTCAGATGCTGCCAACTACGATCGATATGTATTTTTTTCAGATTCCTGAGGTCTACTGCCTTAGAAATGCAATTAGATGACGAGGTGACATCGCAAGGCATCATTGCACCACGCTTTATTGACGAAATAGCTGATGAGGTTGACATAATTGAAGATAAGAAGGCGCCTCCATTCCGTAAGTATGATTAAAAGGAACGAAGCCTTTACTTTCACCGAGTACTAAAGAAATAAGGGTATTTTTTGTGAGTGGCGATGAATGGGCATTATTTCATCTTTCTTTGGTCTCTCGCCTGTTAATGGCATACTCAAGAGAAACACCAATGAAAAATAAAAGAATGATTATGAAAAGAACGGTAATAATATATGTTTTACTCACTAACACAAACTACAAAGCCTATTACTCACTAAACGATTACTTGAATGACGAGCGTGCATGGCCATAGTTATATATATACCTACATTGTAAATAAAATGGCTTTTATAAAAATAAAATAAAATATTCAATTAAGTTTCTTGCCAGTTCTTCTCTATTGAATCCATATACTATACTGGACGGTAGGGAAAAAATTAAAATTATAATGTAAAAAATTTGACGTTCATAAGCGTCTAATATATCCTACATGAATAAATGATTTTTTAATTTGAATTTATTAATATTGTAATTATGGTCAGTCATCTGGTACGTAGCTGTATCGGTGTTTAATGAATAAAATTATTGCATAATTTTGTAACAAAAAATTATTGTTCTAGGTTGTCGATGTTTGGACTAGGTTGCACATAAATCATAATTGCCATAGTTACCATAAAATCGTTCGTGTTAAGAGCCGATTAATATTAATAATGTGGGCTTAAAAGGGAAGTTTAAAAATAATTGATGGTAATGGGTTCGAATCGTCGCACAATACTAACATTTGTATATAAATGTTGTTACGTAAAATAAAATTGTTTGTTGTTACGTACTTTCTATGTATGTAATTATTCTATGAAATGAAATTATTACTATTCCATGACAGCACTAATGTATTTATAAAAAAATATTAACTATTTCTATCTGTTGTTTAGTACCTACAACACAAACTTAGCTTAGCTTGGGACGAGATGGTAAATTGTCAAGAGTTATTATTATTATTACAACTAGAATGATTGAAATTTACAGGTCGTCATAAACTGAAGAAGCTGATCATACCTATGTTGCTGATATTGAAACTATTCAAGTTGAAGCTACTTTTGTTCCTGCCTCTCATCCTAGGCTTGGCCAGCTTCAAGAAATTCAAGTATTTTTTAAATTGCCTATATTAATTGCACATGTTTCATGGATTCTAAAAAACAATTACATTCTAATCCTCTTATAGTTCCGTTTAAGGTATTTTTTAATTGACACAAAAATATATTGCCTATATTAATTGTAAATGTTGCGTCTGTCACCTTTTCTGTTTATCACCTTTTCACAATCCAACGGTTGTACGGATGTTATTAAACTTTGAGACGAAGATTGAGTTTATCATACATGTAAATACGGATAGCACCTGACAATCGCCCAAATCCCTCAATAAATAAAAAACTATCTAAAACTATCAATATATTTTATTTCCAGGCGTTATCGGCTACTTCAAGTTCTGCAAACCAAACCTGACTTCACCATTCTCCTCGAATCATTACAATGGTCCCCAGTACTCCCCAGCTGGTATTGGCCTCGGTCCCTACAGAGAAGTTCATGCGCCATCCCATTATGGACATTATGACAACTACCAGGTAAGTTGAAATTCAAAATTACAGGGTTATCGAAGATTCTCATGTACGAAGATAATATAATGAAAATATTTTTTAAGTAGGTACTGTACTATTATACTGTGTTTGAGATTATTTATGCTCCCTAAAATATAAAGTACCCTTACTAATATTATAAACGCAAAAGTATTGAATGGATTTTGATGAAACTTTACAGTAATATATAGATTAAAATAATACATAGATAATATAAAAAGATGATCTGTAAATTGGGCGATAATGACAAGTGACAAGTAAGTGTGATGCAGACGAAGTTATGCATCTCAGCTAGTTATATATATGGTATGTCACTCATTGTGCGTTATATTGCCTACTAGTTGTTTTTAATTTAATAGAACTGCTCTCTCTCGGCCACTACAGCATATTATTTTTTGAACCTACATTTAATACCTAGATTATTACTTATTTATAATACTTTTTATGTAACTGGAAAGACGAATAACCTAACGACCCACGGGACCCACCTTATGATAAGTGGCAACCGTTGCCTATATACTTGAAAAGAGCCATGAATATTCAAGTTTTATTTGATAAAAAATATCTTTGATGTTTGATAAATTATATAGCGATAAATCATAAGTAATGACCATTCAAAAGTATATAAAATTCAGATTTGACAAAACATTCTATTCCAATCAATCTTTGATTACATGACGTCAAATTATCGCTTTGAAGTATTTTAACGTATTTCTTTTTTCTTATTAAATACTGTGTTTTAATATAAGTTACTTTAGCTTCTACAATTCCCAACTGCTAAAATAAACCGAGCGAGATAATCGACAAATCATTTCCTACTTGGTACGGCCTGTTTATGAAATTTAAATTATATTTATTAAGAGGACTTCCTTCAAAGCCTCAAATACGAAAATAATTTGCAGCATTTTACCCTGCTAACAAGGCAAAATGATTTCATCCTCGACTATGTTATTGATTCTTCTTGGCTTCTCAAAAATTTACTGGAATGCCGTATTATGGTATTTTATACATTGAAACTTTTTTATGCGTATTTTTTTATGTTTCTGGCAGGGATGTTAGGGAGCTCCGTAACCGTAACCGAAACTATCGGATATCCGATATAAAAAATATCCGTAACCGTAACCGAATCCGAAATAAGAGCTTCGGATAATATCGGACAGGGGCTGAGTCTAATTGAGACACGTTATGTAACCATTTTATTAACTATTTGTATTTTACTTTTGGACATTCCTTAAGAAAATAATATCCTTAACCGAAATTATCCGAAACTAACGGATAATCCGAAATAATTTCATATCCGTATCCGGTATAATAATCATTACTATATCCGAAACCTATCCGTATCCGAAATTTCATATCCATAACATCCCTGGCTTCTGGAATGGCAAGCAAACTAATGGCCCACCAAATGGAAAGTAATAATTTTAGGCACATGAACAGCACTCTTCTCAAACAAAATTAAATGCACTATCTTTCCTAAGATGAATAAAGTATCATGCCTCCGTAGTCTGTATATAAACTGCCATGTATTATCCTCACATTACATAATAAAAAACTTTAATAAGCAATCTGCTTGGCAGCACACATGGTTGAGGCAAAAGTAGACGACCCTGTACAAAATGTATCTAAATAAATTTAAAAAATGGTTTGAATTCACTTTCAGCAAGGACACAAATACGGATCTGGTGGCCACAGCTCTGGAGGAATATCCTTCAGAGAACATGACGCAAGTCCCCAAGATCTAGCGTACCAGGGTTGGGAATACAGAAATAAAAAGAACGAGGACATCAAAGCAGAGGAACCTTAAGACTGAACTTACATTAGATAATTTATTTCTAGAATGTGCACATTTGTGACTGATGCATGACTATGTACATTGTTATATTGAAAAACCATTTACAATGTACTTCCTTTTATTTTTTATTTAATATACGTATACATAGTTACTATGTATATGTTTATTATTTATGAAGGTTATGTGTATGTTTATTTATACCTGTAAATAAACATACATATAATATAATGTCTAGTAATGGCCACCTATGTACATCTTTTTTGTATATACTCGCGATACTTTATACCATGTCATGCCTTTTGTAATGCAATTTCTAATATACTCGTACTGAATTTTGCATTTGTTCTAAATGCGTTAATTTTAATGTATTATTAAATTATGTATTATTCAACATATTTCTAACAGACGAATTATGTTGATTAGATTGACAGTCATCCACAATATGTAGGGATTTAGTATACTGCGTGAGGATTACGATTCGGCCTGTCAATGGTAATAGAAAAATATTTGCGTACCATTTATGTAGCTTGTTAATCCGTCCATTGTTGAAATCCTCAATTATAGACGCTTTTTCACATATGTATTTTTGACACGAGTCTAAATTTTTGTCTTTTTTTACAACCTTAATACTCATATTCCTTTATATTATATCATATTCTTTCTTCTTTCTTCTTTATGACGTATAAAATGTATATCATCATATCATATCATATCATCATCAAAATATAAGAAAATCTATGTCCCTATTCAAGTAATTTCTTATATACTATATACAACTACTATAGCTATACATAGTAAAAAAAATAATGTAAATTACATTTACAATTCTATATTTATGAAATAATGTTAAATTTACTATGTAGGTGTTATTTGAGTATCATTAGCTATAGATATAGTGTAAGATACAATCAGTCTTTACGTGTCACTGCTTGTGTTTATATTATGCCTATTCTAAGGTACCAATAAATATTTAGGTAATATTGATGAAATCGTAATGAAACGAAGCCATATAGATAATTGTTAAATGTTGCAAATACCTATTTATTTTCGTTATTCACTCCTTGAAGTCGATAAATATTTTAGAATTTTTTCTTTTGACTTGTTGAGTTGTGTTAACAACACAGTGTACCTATATATATATATGACAATATACTAAATAAACGTATAAATAAAACTGATGTCATACTCTTAAACAAGCCACTAAATATTTTATTTAAACGTAAAAAGGTAATTACTATGTAATTTCATTAGTAAACTAAGTAGAATTAGTAAATACACTATAATCGCCTACTACGTCATTTAAGCAAATTTTCTAATCTTTTTAATACCCAGAACTACATAATTAAAATAGTAAATAGGTACATTATTAAGTGTAAAACTAACGTTTTTATTATATAAATATTTAATATTTACATTGTAATAAAACACTATTACGTTAAGAAAAATAATATGTCATGTTTGCAAAATAAATATATTAATTTCTAGAAAAATGGAATCTTTTTCAGTTTTATAAATAAATTTGTTACCATTCACCGCATTTTTTCTTACGCATCCATGGGGCATAAAATTATTATTTTTTTAATTTAAACTGCAATCAATTATTAAATAATACATCATTATGTTTAATGATTTGTTTCCTATAAATTCGTATATTAAGGTTACTTAAGGGTCGGCAGCACGCACGAGACTTCTCTAGTGTATCTGGTGTCTATGGGCTAAGGTAACTGTTTACCATCATATGGGCTGTATTCTTATTTGCCAACGTAGTAAAAATAAAATCTATTTATAGATAACACTAGATATGCTCCACAATACTATTACAAATCAATCAATGTCTCGCGGAAATAGACAAAAGGTCGAACACCTAGTCGATATATTAAAATTAAACCTTATGTTAGTTGCTACTACTTAGATTGGTGTATATTGATGGTAAGTGACTACCGCCGCCCATGAGCACTCACAACACCAGCAAGTGCCTTGTCGACCTTTTAAGAAAGAATAAACTTTTTTCAATATCGTATCATACCATTGCTGTAAGTTTATTCCACAATGAGGTTGTACATGGCAAAAAGCGTCCGCCAAACATCCAGATGATCAGGATGATGTTTTAGTTTCTGGCAGGTGGTATGATGGTGAAATTCTGCGGCTGGTATTAATCCGAACAATTCCTCAGAACATTGATATGTGATAGAAAATGCACAAAGATGCAATGTCTCGCCGCATAAAAGATAGTTAAAACATAAAAGGTACCTAGAATTAGGTGTAACAATTTACAATGAAACACAGAAAAAACCAGTATGTCTGCAGTAAGAGTATTTTTTAATCTATTTTATTTTCCCGCGCAAACGAAATGCTCCACAGATTCATAATACCGCAGCCGCAGTAGTATTATAAGCTTGGTATAGCCACAGATAATATAATATTATAGCTATATGCGCTGTGTAATTCTTAATATGAGTATTAACACCGAGTCAGACACTCTCTTAGCCACTTTTTTATTTCGACACTCATTGCAAATTAGAAATAAATTAATCTCGCCGGGGATTTAAATTAAGATAATTAAAAGGCTTTTCTTTATGGCGACTGTCGCTAGAAACGTATTATTTGATTAAATTGGTATTATGAGCTCATCAAAAAATATTTAATTATCAATTTACTTTGCTACGTTTTCAGTTTTAACGAGCCTAAAGAGCGTTTTCTGCCTATAAGTAATTCTATTAACACTTAATAATGTGCATGTACTGAGATCTGACGTCATTATTTGTCTATAATGTTTAGTATTAAAAATTGGCATGGCTATTGAGATCATTAGCAGGCAATGCTGTAATATGCCTTATATTACAGCGTTGCCTGCTGTCACTGTGGCTTAATTGATTATGTATATATCTGTAATGCAAATAAATGACTTACTTCATTTGTTTAAGGTTTCCTAGGATACATGATTAATTACAGGTTTATCATGTCTGTTTGTCAATAATTTTACACCGCTCAGTCTTTCTAACGTATTATTATTTCATAAAAAGACTAGTAGAACAACAAATCATTAGTCAGTTTGACAGGAGTGTTGGTTCGCTAAGTTACTTCCTATATTCTTCTTCCTCATTGTAACCTTTAATAAGTAAGTCATTCTAAACTGTATATATTCTAAGAATTAATGTACAACAACGTGGAACACCCAAAAGATCTTGAATTCAGATCTGACTTACAGTAAATTTTGTGTGTGATATTATATTTCTAACTAGCTGTTCCCCCGACTTCGTCCGCGTGGAATTTAACTATCGTTTTCTAAAATAAAAAAATATCTCAAATAAAAGTAGCCTAAGTTACTCCTTATTACATCAGTTACCTGCCAAAGAAATGTCCCATTAAAATCGGTCCAGCCATTTCAGAGATTAGCCGGAACAAACAGACCGACAGACAAACAGACAAAAATAGTAAAAAGTGGTTTTTTGGTGAGTGTACTGTATTTATATTCATATGCATGTAGTAAAGTATACTGTATTTTTGTTACATTGCACTGAATAAAATATTTTTCTTTCTTTCTTTCTTTCTTTCAAACGGTTATATCAATATTACAAACAAAACACTCCAATTTTATTTAGATGTATAGATAATTTGGCTCTCCGATAACAAAACCAACCAATCACCTCGCCCCCTGTCACTTGGTGTTCAAATATTGTCAGCAAATATCCAACGTCATAGTAAAAGCAAGTGTTGCTTTGATGACGGCCATAATTAACAGAAGTTTCTACCTTTGTAATGTTCTCGCACAAGAGACAGAAACAAATTCAATCTAAACTAATATAAGATTTAATTCGATTTAAATACATCATTTCCAATACGGCTTTATATGTGCTTTTACAATATTACTGTCTTTATTTTCACTTAAAAATTCTATGTCATCCAAATCTTCTAATATAAAAACATATTTTCTTTTTACTTCCCTTTTATTCCTTCTGTTGAAATTTGTGTTCTTATGTGCTGCTAATTTTTGAAATGGCATTGAATATCTTACTAACTTACTATTGTACTTTCTTTGATGTTTCATCTGATTTCCATCAAATTTTGTTTCGTTCGTTGCCTTTTTTGATAGTTCCTCGTTTCTATGAATTTGGTCCAATGATTCTATTTTCTTCACATGTGACTGTGTAGTTGAAATCATCGGAGATTTTAAATACATCTTCCTTCTACTTTTGCTCTTTTTTATTATCTTTTGTATTGTTCTTTTCGGTGACTTTTTTAATAGTTTTCTTTTGCTTTTTTGCTCTTCATAATTGTCCTTAATATTTGGTATTCGAAGGATATTTTCCGCTTTATCTATATAAGTTGCATTGTATGATACCTGCAATGAGTTTTAAAGTTGTATTTGGTTGGTTGTATTATTTTGAAACCGAATATTACTAACACTATTATTTACGAATGATTTTGATAGACAATTATCGACATTATCATTATTTCAGACGGAACAGTTTATTCTACTACATACATCTTTGTTAAGTCCATACTATGTCACAATGCAATGCAGAAAGAAAGTCAAATAAACTGGAGTATTAGTAGTTTTAGGCTTTTGTTTAAAGTGGGTAGCAATGCATAAACAAATAGCAAAACATAAGATAGTAATGGTATAGAAAGGTTCTTGGTAAATATATTTTTTCTGCGTTAACAATAAAAAATATGGAATGAGTCTCTTTTCGCTTATACACAAAAGTAATAATAGAAAAAAAATACTACATATATCTATTATTCTTCCAAATTTTAATAAATGTAGTGACGTATAATAATTATCTACTTACCGGTTTAACAATTGATAAAACATATGATTTATTTTCTTTTCCAGCATGATTAAAGAGGAGACCTGGGTCCTATAAATGAAAAGTTTCCCTTATAGATAAGATTTATTGTCGATTGTGATGATACAATGACAAAAATTTATTTATTCGAATTGCAGTAAATTGTTTTTAAACAGTTTTTTTTTTTCTAAACAAAATATTTTGGATAAATATGCTTAACCCAGTACAATATAAGACTGTAAATAAACTAAAATTCAATATTTATACGAACGATTGATTTTAACAATGAGTCTATTTTTGTTAAGCATTTTCTTACTAAGCGCTTTTTATGTAATTAAATTTTATATTACAGTATATTATTACTACAGTAAGTAGGACTTATAACACTTGTGAAGTCGGGTAAAATAAAATACAAACCTGTATGGAATCTGCTAATGTAATTCTTAATTTAAGCAAAATAGACAAAAATAATAGACTTAACATTCTACAATCTACGAAATATGAAGGATATATACTACATTCAACAAAGGAGCGAATGGCGTTACATTAACTTTTATAAACCATACAAAGTACATACATTTTATAGCTTTCGGAATTGAAAACACCATTGTTTTGCCGGCCTAATGGTGAATGTTTTCAAAAATCCAATCAATGTAAAATCATTCTGGTTTGCGTTTGTTTTTCTCTAATCTATAGCGTTGGATAGATTTTTCGAATACTATTCATATATTTTCCACAGTGATTTTATAATATATTAACAGTCTTTATTATTATAAAATTTCTCTGAATTTGTATGTGATAAATATAAAAAGATACAGTTATTTATATCAGCTAGAGTCATGCCACTATTCGCGATTATATCGTAGGTTTCTCAGTTGATAAAACCCTAATCTCTGAATAACAATGCATGAGACTCTATAATGCTAACACAAAATAAGTGTAAATTAAACTATTACTACATACTACTACATTTAAAAAAATGAGCGAATAGTAAATATGATTTGCGTACATCATTTTTTAAAATGTAGTTTGTTGTGTTTAATTATAGTATTAATATTACAAAATAATAAATTAATATTAAAAATCATATATTTATTATGTGTATTTAAAATAAAATCTTGTTAATACGAAATAAATATTGTAAAGTTAGAACAATGTGTACATAATGTTAGAAAATTTAATTTTAATGACTACGTGTATAGTTTTAGAAGATGCAATTGAATATATTAATAAGGCATATCATCACAAAGTTATCGACTAAGAGCTTTCAGAGAATATTAAAATGTATCCGAAGGTAAAGTATATTGAATATTCCATTATTTTATTTTATACCAGCTGTGCCCGCGGTTTCACTCGCGTAAAATTTATAGTCTATGTTATTCTGATTTATAATTACTATACTATTGTTTATATTACTGTAAAGTTTCATCAAAATCCTTTCAGTAGTTTTTCGTGAAAGAGTAACAAACATCCATCCATACTCAGGAACTTTTGCGTTTATAATATTAATAAGATACATAATTATAAGTATTTATTCTTCGACCTCGGTGGTCAACCTTACACCGCTTTGCGTCCTATGGCATCAGGTTCGATTCCGCGCACGGCTTATTTATGACTATGATTGATTGGTCTGGGTTTGGATTTTTGGATATTATGTACGACTATTATATTAAAAAAAAATGTATCTAAGTATTTCTATCCAGTTGTCTAATGCCCAAAACAAGCTAGTAACCTCTGCTTAGCGTGGGACTAGATGACACAGTGTGAATTATCTAGGGATATTATTATTATTATTTCTACCGAGGTACAATTTCTTAGATTTTTTTAAACATTAAAGTTGTCTGTAGAACATAGACAATATAATGTTTTCAAAATCGTTAGGAATCCGTTATTAAAACTTTAGTACCTAACGTAATCCAACGTGTGATTTTTTTTTTACCTTCTTCTAAATAATTTTCAAATATATAATTTAAATAAATTACTTATAGTCTAATTTCGAACACTGTTATGTTATGTTTATTTTTCATATATTTTGTGTTTTCAGATAACTTCATTAATTTTGACTCTAATTTGTACATTACAAATTGTGAAGTCATCTGTTGTAATAGACAGTTTGAGCCAAAAAGGAATCCACATAACGGACTATTGTCCGAAAATGAAATATTGTGAAGAGGGCGCTCACGTCATGTGTATGTATTACAATCCAGTAAGTATCCATATCATTACTTAAAACTTGCTGTGACTAAAGTCGTATCCGTCAAGCAGGAGTTGGCCTTCAGTCAGTCCATAAGTTCCTCCGTGGGTTTGGAGTGCTACCTGCCTCGCTCTCTATCGTTTAATGAAACTGTAAAGGCCAGGTGCGGCCAACAGCAATCATTGATCGAATAATTCGGGTCAAAAACACTGGCTTGTACCCAAAAGGTCGTACGGTGAAGTCTGTCAGAAACCAAAAAATCTTTTTGCGTCAATTTGTATTTCCGACTCTGATGACGTAAACATCGATAATGAAACCAGATATTAATCTGTTTATGTTAACTGTCAATTCTACACTTTATATGCAAACATACTGTTAAATGTTGCATTCACCATGACGTCACCAATTTTGCCCATGGTAATTAAATGGATTAAATAACCCATGATGGTTTTCAGGGGGTCTTGGCTTGGAGGTCTACCTAACATGGTAAATTGCTAAAAATCGGGATACTAAACCCCATATATATCCCTTCAACAATCATCTTCCCCTTCGGGATAATTGCCGTGATCGCAGATTGCTCTCCAAATCGGAAGGACTTATGGAGCGGCTGAAGGCCAACTCCCGCCTGACGGATACGACTTATGCCTGTGGGCACCGCTAGGGTTTCGAACCTCGGTTCAGGCCGTCGTAATTTCGATTCCCATTTGAATTGGACTTCGATCGAAGGGGGACTATTGTTAAATAATGTTACAGAATAAAATAATGGGCCCGCGCTGCAGTAGGCCAAAGAACGTGTCCATTACACCGGAGCTGGCTAATAAGCTTCTGGAGGTATCGAACGCGTAAGTTATGATTTTTTTTTTGACGGGTTGATAATGGAATGGCGGGTGCACCTGCGTTAACGGTTTACCCTGGTAGGGCACCAGTGGAGGATGATAAGAGGAGCATGAGGTCAGGTCAGTTAGTCCACCGTGACAAATTCACTAGGAATAGGAAACACGATGGTTTCCAGGGGGAACCGCGTGGAGGTCGACCAGATATAGTACATTGCTAGCAATGGGGTTATCAATCCACATTGCCAACAATCCCCTTCCCTCCAGTTATGATTTTTAATTTATTTCTTGCCTAAATATTTTTTGTTCGGTAGTAAAGCTCTAAATATATCTAGATAAAATTGCGAATGTACTCATTTGAATGTGGTTAAAATTCACTTTGATGTGGATATAAAATTTTAATAAAAATGTAGATCGGAAGCTATGACCTATAATGCTTCCTGGATTGGATTTCATACCCAGTAAAAAGATTATCACGAGATTTATATTGGATTTTGTTATATTAATGCGCAATTGAGATTTAATGTATCGCTTATACATTGGTTTATTCGGTTTATAGACGTATTTACTATTCGCGTACATCCTTATGTTTATCATTGATTTATTAATAGGTACATAAGGGTGTATATTTTATTTATTTTTGTTTGTCAACTTATTTCCACTCATGTCCCTATTCTACTTTTAATAACGCTCTCTTTCTTATGGTTGTCAAGAAATTGCGTCAGCAATAAAACCGCCTTTTTCACCTGCTTCTTTCTTCATATTTGTGTGTTATTTCTGACCGTATCTACTTTATTATTGGTACATTACATTACATCGTAAGTAAATCGGTGAAAGTTATTATATATTGCTACACCAATTATTAGTTGAACTAAATCTCATTATTTAGATACACAGTAACATATACTATTATTGAAATATAAAATAGCTTATGTTAATCCTCGTGATACGACCTATTTTCAAATATAACGGGTGCCAAATCAGCACCATGTGTGCTCCTTATAGCCTCTTACACCTTTACTACGAAAGCAAGGTAGAAAACTGCACCTCAGTCTCACCTATTATTGAGATACGAGTGTAAGATAGCTTATTCTTATCTACATCATACCCCCTAAGTTCAAATTAAAAGGTTGTAAAATCATACTACATGTGCTCCTTATAGTCTCTTAAACCTTCCCTACGAAAAAACTGGTAAGGAATCCATAAATGTTTTCTCCGTGGGTACCTCAGTCTCTAGCGGCTAACTGTACTATTTTAATTATCGGTTAAAAAGTAAGTTGAAGTTACTAGAAAAGGTAATAAAATCTTAGTCCTCTGAATTAGTAACGAAGGAGTGGTATCGCGGGTGTTACACGTTAATGTGATGTACGTTCATGTATATAAGTGATAGTTACCAATTACCATCATATGGGCCGTCAGCTTGATGGCAATTCCGATTACGACTTCAGTGGTCTAGTGGTTTAACACAACGCTTTACTTCCGAAGGTCGCGGGTTCGATTCTTCGCACGGCACAAACATTTATATTCATGAGTATGATTGTTCGTATCGGTTTGGTTTTCAATATATTATGTACGCATTTACAAAAAAAATCTATATATTTTTATCTGTTGACTAGTACCCATAACACAAGCTCAGCATAGCTTGGAACTAGATAACCCTGTTTGAAATGTTCTGAAATATTATTATTTTATACCACAAATAGTATATATTAGTTATACAACAGGTTAATGGATCTGTTTTGTTTCAGCGTCAGAAGTAAAATCGCCCTGGGCAAGGAAAAGGGCAAAGATGGCGATTATCTCCCGAGGGGCTACGGCATATTCAGATTGGTTTGATTTTTCTAATATTTGCCCTTCTTTTGATTCAATATAACATAGCCCCTGGCGAAATCACTTCTCACAAATGTTTGTCGAATACCTACACCAATATTTATGTTTATTGACGCAGTGGTAGCAAATACGACCAACTGAGAGTCAGTGATGGTCCGTCTCAGAATAAATTCATTAAATACATACAGCACATAATTAAAGTATTAAACAAAAAAAAAAGTCTGATTATTGTCAAACTGATGATAAGGCCTTTTGAATCGCATTCGCTTACAAATTCTCATGCAAAGACAAAATAAAGATATGGTGTACTGATTTTAAAAATTCTTTCATCATTGGAATGCTACATTATCTCTGAGTAACGTATACTTATTACCAGATAAAAATTAATATTATTATCCAACGTGTTAAAAATAAAGGGTTAGTATTTGCTAACCCTTATAAACACACGCATATAAATAACATACAAACTATCAATATACTAATATACATAAGTACAATAAACATCTAAACTACAATTAATAACATAACTACTAGTATTAACAAATGTATATATAAACTAAACAAACAAAAGACTTCAAAAACCCGAAAGCGCAAACGCAGAAGCTAAACGAGTTAAAAATATGCTCATAAAAAAATCGGGTTAGTTAAATAGCCGGCAATTTAAGCTTAAAATTACATTTAAACACTTTTTTTATATACATACATAATGTCGAATTCTCTACCAGAACCATCTAACTATTGGGTAAAAACAAAAACAGCGATTGATGGACAGTGGTGGAAAAAGACCAACCCATACTTCTAGGAATTATAGGAATTCAAATTGTTCAATACGGCAATATTTTTTTAAATTACAGCAATGGGATAATGAATTGGCCACATTCGCACAAGTTTTAGCGAACCAGTGTGTATTGAGACATGACATGTGCAGAGCTACAAGTAAGTTATTACTTTATGTACTCATCACATTTAACATAATTATTAAACAAACCAGTAATAGTAATTAAACAATAGAGTAACGCATATTTGATAGAGGTATACTGCACACTTTCATTTTAATACAATATAGTTTGTTGATGTTCAAATGTAATGAACATTACATTTGAACATCAACAAACAAAACAACACAGTAAATAAAAAAACAACGAGATGAATATGTGATGTGTAATATGCCCATATTAGATTGTATGTGTGTATGTGTACATAATATTAAAAATATTTAGTAATTGCTACTTACTTTTACTAATTTTAATAGTTAGTTTGTTTTCAACTAAATATTTACATACCAACTATAAATAAGGTAGAAAAACACCGAACAATTTTTAGAAAGAAAGATAATTTTGTAATAACAAAAATATTTAAGATATACCTAAGTATTTTTGAAAACACCAATTTGTTAGAATATTAACATAGAAAAAACTCCATAGAAATAAAATGTATATACCAGTAAAACAGTAAGTGTCAGTATTATTAAATTAGGTGTAAATATTTTTATTCATGTAGAGTTGTGTTCTAATTGCAGACACTAAATATGAATCATATCAGTGTATGAAGATTCTTCGTCTTCGGAATATCACCAATATTGTCACAGCATTCATCATCATCTGCTTCTTCCTTATCCCATTTATTTGGGGGCGACGTAATATCTTATTCTCTTCCATTCCCTGTTCACAGTCATCTCGTTATTTACTCTTTCTTATCATACCATCTTTCACACAGTCTATCCATCTCTTTTTCGACCTTCCTCTTATTGTTACAGCATTACCAAAATTTAAAATTACAGAAAGGTTTTCCGATCCCGGACAAACTGCGGGACTCGTCCGTTTCTCGTATCCCGACTGGTATCCGGTTTCCAAAGCTGGCCACTTCACTAAACCAGGGTTGTCACCATCCAAGCTTCTGTACGCCATCACCCAGGCCCTGAAGTCCTGGTACGGACAGAAGGTAGCTGTGACTCCGAATATGATTACTAGTTACCCAGATTGGGCACTGTGAGTATTGTAATTATCCATACAAATACTATACTCGTATATAAAAAAGTATCTGTTTGTAATTTCAAATTAATAGCTTTTCACTAAATATATTATATATGAAAGTATACGGTCATCAAATGTCTGTCTGTTTGTTCTTGCTATGTAATATTATGTTATCTGTGGTTCTTGCTAATCTCTGAAACGGCTGGACTGATTTTGACGCAACTTTCACTCGCAGACAGCTAAAATTATAAGGAGTAAATTAGGCCATTTTTAATTTGGAAATATTATTTATTTAATAAAAAACGAGTAAATTCTGAATATTATACAACAATAGACTTTATATAATATCGGCTAAGCTTCTCTATGTCTCCAATTTCAAATGACAAACATTGCTTAATAAGCTGTTTCATTTTTAAAGTGCATTAGACAGTAAAATTATAGTCTTATTATTATTAGACAGTAAATATAAGTCTTCCAATATATGATACAACTCATGTGTCGCCAACGTGAGTGGTATCACGGGCGTCGCATGATAACGTGATGACCGTGGCGCTGTTCCTGTATATATGCGACGGTTACCACTTACCATCAAGTGTCAACGTGATCACCATTCCAATTACTTAAAAACAGCAGTAAAACTTGCAGGTAACGTAAGCATGACACCTTAATTATCGGGTATGGTCTTATTATCTTCATTTAAGTAAGGTTAAGTGGTAGAGAAACAAAAACAAAACAAGGTGATGCATCACGTAATCTTATATATAAAATTCTCGTGTCACAGTTTTCGTTCCCATACTCCTCCGAAACGGCTTGACCGATTCTCATGAAATTTTGTAAGCGTATTGAGTAGGTCTGACAATCGGCCATCATCTATTTTTCATCCCCCTAAATGTTAGGAGTAGTCCACCCCTAATATTTTTTTTTATTTTAAGGCAAAGCAACTTTTGCCGGACAGCTAGTAATATATATATTTTAGGTATGCTTTTTTTATAGGACTCAATAAACGCCATTTTATTCTATAATTTCAACACATTCCCACTTAGTTAATACTATTATTCAATCTCCATTCAAGAAATAATTTGCAAATAAAGGAGCATCACTATTGACAGTCTTTTATATAATTTATATTGGCGCACAACTTATATCTTTTCATCTATAAAGAGGTTTCAAAGTACCTATTATTAAATTCATTCAAAGAAAGTCTCTAGGCCAGTTATATAATTTTATAAGGGAATTCTAAATATATCTCAGAACATAATTTCGCACTTAATCAAGAATTCAGAAAATAGATCCGCTGTTATTGAGACTGCCGATATTGTGTACTTATCCAAGTAAAACTGAAATGACATGGACATATTTATAATTATTTTATTTTATGGTTTGTATTCTTGAATATACAAACATTTGTATTTATGAGTATGATTGTTTGTATTGATTGATGATTGTCTAGATGTTATCTAATATAGGATATATGCGTTTAAAACAATATATATATGTCAGTTGTCTAATACTCGTAACACTTCTTCTTAGCTTGAGACTAGATGGAGTTGTATGCATTGTACAGGAGTATTATTAATATTATAATCATCTAAAAGCTATTAACAATGAATTAGATATATGATAAATAAAACGGAAAAATGTATGAACGACTAAAACATTTGCTCTTTTTAGCAGGCTATTGACATTTTCATATACATTTTCAGAAAACCAAACAAACAGGGTGGTAGACTGTACTTAGAGATGATCTATGGGCCCGCCACGCACATGGGCTGTGGTATATCTGCTTACACAGAGTACGCCTTCTATGACAACAACGCTGCTCTTAATTACAACGTAAGCAATCAACTATGTAATTTATTCTAATTAAATTTATATCGTACAGACTAACATAAATACAAAATATGTGATTATAATAATGTTATTGCAACTGCTACATATATATTAATTCAGGTAAATTTATCAATTGTTGTGTAATAAATTTACATGAAGGAAAGTTACAGACAGAAAAGAAAGAAAGAAGACAGTTTTATGATAGCTAAATTCAAGCTTACGATTCTTGAAAACAAATGAAAAAGCGCTAGCTCACGATGAACTCAATATAAACAAATAAACATTCTAATCTAATATTAACGTATTACAGTCAGTGCAAATCATATGCAACTATTCCGCACGTCCTCGCAAAGGTGGTTCAGTCTATAATACCACAGTGCCTATAGCTTCTGGGTTCACTGGTCGTTGTGGCTGCCCACGTGGATCTGTTGAAGATGGCGACTGCTTATGCTATGACAAACCTCAGAAGGATATCTCTCGTAAGTAATTTGAATATTAATTTAATGAGACACAAATCAACAGGCTATATTTTGAAGTTTATCAATTCTAAAATTTATTAAATTATGGATATGATATTTATGGAACAATATTACAACAAATTCATTGGTATTGTACCTGAAACTTGCATATGACCCCTCGTAGGCCTAACATTAATACAAGCCTTAGCCTTGACAAAGACGACACATCTGAACTGAAATAATTTCAGCGTGAATTGACCAATAGCTAATAAGTGTATGACTCCCAACAGGGTGGCGATGTGAGATTTAGAACAGGTTGAGAGAGGGATCAACTGCTCTACTGTGTAGAAACGGACTCCCCAAGTCGTTAATACCCAAGTATACATATTTTTTTAATATATGATTGTAATAGTGTACCCACCTTCACAAATCATATACTCTAGCAGGGCACCAGTGGAGAGAATGGTTAACATGAAGGTCAGTTAACTCATTGTGACAAATCCATTAGAAATTCCCACAATAAGTTCAAGACATAAGCGCATGGAGATTGACCTGATATTGCTCTCCCCAATAATAATCCCTTCTCCCTAAATTGATCCAGTATCAGCCGTGAAAACGTGTAACAAATTAAACCGACCACTTTAAGGTTTATAATATTACGGAGGTAAAGATGACTTGAAAACTCATTTCCAACACATTTAATATTGAAGATAATGCGATCATCTGTTCAAGGATTAATGTCTAATTTGTTCTAAAAGCTCCCTTCAGACCCCACGATCCGTTTATTGTGGGGCCTGTAAGCCACTTAATCTTTAAAGACGGGCACCTATATTTCCGAAGTTTACTACCTGCTTATCAAGCTTTGTAGGCTATGATGCGCCTTGATAACTTTAAACCTGTTTTACCTTTACACGACTAAACGAAACGGATTTGATGATTATTTTTGTAAGCGATAAGATTTACACCTGTGTTTGTTCCAAATTAATTTTCTCAGGATTTATAGTCGATTTACTTTTTATAACAAGAGAAAGAGGATCTATTATATAAAAAACCTACGAACACAACTGCCTTAGATCGCACAACTGGTATTCAGTGGGTAACCACGAAAATGTACTCGTTTCTTGTGGAACATTTTAGTATATGTGGGAAAGAGCATTATGTCGGAGAGACGGCACATACACTGCTGGCGTCATGCGGTATTACGCTGCAACCCGCTACTGAAAACAGTGGTGTCTGTCTGAGAGCCGATAATTATGAAGACAAACAATACAACGTAATTTACTTTTATCTTTGCAACTAAACTTTAATGCTAGCTAATTTGGAGGTTTATCGAAAAGATAGACCGAAGCTCAAAAGTGTACACCGTTCCAGATACTTTAGTAAAGATACACAGGTACTGTAATAATAGTTTTTTATTACTTTTCAGCTCGTAAATTGATGACATGCTCTGACGATGACATGAACTGTAATCCATCTGTAGTACTGCTCCCTATCTTCACAATGGAGGATGCTCCATCACAAAAACTAATTAATTCTCAGGAGTAAGTAACAAATATTCAATACAATAAATCCTAATTAGAGCTGACTACAAAAATATATTACAGACAGGACAATCAAATTATTTACATCATATTATAAGCTTTGTTTATTATGGGACTAGATATGCGACAAAGTACTGACTAGCTTTGATTTACTAAGGAAAAACCTACACACTTTTTTTTGGGTATAGAATTAATATACTTAATCTGTTTATTGATTAGAAACGAGGGTAGTACAACAATTCGAGAGAATTCAATGGATATATTCGACTTCGAAGAAACTGCCTTCCCGAATGTTTCCACAAAAAAGGTAAATAGTCTTTAAATCCATGTAATATCTGAGGCTGAATGAGTACCAAATGAACATAATTATTTTTCTCTTTTAGCCACACATTGAAAATATACTAAATGAAATAATAAATAGTCCGTTGCCGAAATTGACGATGCCCAGGTAAATTAAGCTCAATAACTTATACAAATACACTATTTCAATAAACAAAATTATCATAACTGCCTGCAAATATAATAAAATAGGCAATTCTATTCATTATTAACTCATAGAAAAGATATTTAGAGGACAGATATATTTTTAATACCAATATTTTATGACAATTTAATATAATTATGAAAGATAGTAAAAGCATAACACGATTTTGTATTAGTCGCGGTCGGGCTAATATATTTTATCTACGCGCACACAGACATACAAAAATTGTGTTTCATTGATTAACAAGCAAACTATACACAATTCCTTTTTAGCTTTTTGTACAGTCTGTTTTATATAAATCTCTTTTTTATTCGATTTTTGATATTATGACGTAGATAACTCAATTATATAATTTTACTTTTAATATACTAATGTATACTTTGCTCTATTTCAGTCGACCATTAAAGCGAATGGCTGATGTGAAAAATAGGCATTTCTCAAAGAAATCCATAATCCCAGATCATCAGTATCTTCGCAAACAATCTCCACAGCTGTTCTCTAGTCACGCCCCGAATAAAGTAAATAACAAATTTCATCTAACAGAAATACTTTTATACTTTAACGAAATACCTTGCTAATTATAGTTTATATAAAATAAGTTAAAATAAATCCCACTCGGCAAGACCAACATAGCCTTTAATGACGACAAATTGATTTCTTCAGAAAGTGGCTTACGAAATGTTTGTATTTTCTTAGCAATATATATTGAATATTGTACAATAATTCCTATACTTTTTCAGTATTATCACAGATAATATAATATTACATAGTATTATTATAATTACAGATCTTCAAATATTATATTCAACTACTACTTTGTTCAACTAATTACTAGATTATAGATAATTCTAATAATGAGAAAATCGCAACCTTAACAAACTAACAGATAATCGAAACTGATAATGACCCCTACAGCTTCATAACTTTCTGTGTTTTATTGATTTTCTTATTTAATTGTATCTAAAACATCTCTAAATGATTTTTTTTAATGATAGAACTACATACGTACCTACGTATTTTTTATGACATTTGTTCTTGATCCAATTATATCAAAATTGTCATTTTAACTATAAATCGATAACATATAATATTAAAAATTACAGAAGAGCAGCATATTTTCACGGACAACAATATTTGAATTACCAAGACTAAAAGAAGAGCCTCAACTGAAAGTTTCTAAAGATTTTAAAAAGGATGTTGCTCCGAGAAAAGATTTTACAAAAGTGAGAAATCTAGTTAAAATTTATATGAAAGACAGAAAACACAAGACTGAAATCAATCATGATGGGTCTGTAGCAAATGAACAAAACATTCGCCATAGTAAACCTGATTTTCATGAACCTATTTTAAGAATACCAGTTACAACAATATCATTTATGAATACTGCAGAGGAGAAAGTTATGCATGATTATCAATATAAAATAAAAAATGCTACGAGTGGAGATTCCACAGATCAATTCAATATGATAAGCTCAAATGAAGACAGTGATAAGAAACTAATAACTTTGCTTGATAAACTTGAGCAAGAGGTTAAACACGTGCAATGGCATGGAGAAAAAAAAGATATGTTTGATGCAAAAATTAGAAAAATTTACGATAACATTATCCGTAATCCCATCAATCTTATGTCGAAAGATGACGTATTTTTGGAATTAGGTACCTTAGGTAATCAAACATCAAATAATTTATTTCATAGTAATGTATCACATGATAGAGAAACTATGCTAGAACATAATATAGACAACGACATTAACAAAAATTTTGAAGAAATTAACTCTAGATATTTAAAAACTAATCTCAAAACCTATAAGACGCTTAATGAAGTAAATCACAATATGAGACCTATTACTAGCACATTAAATCATATCTCATTACCACTACATAAAAAAATAGATGTAGAATATGAAAATTTAAGAAAGGGATATGATTATGACATTACCAAGCAACAGCCTTTTGCAGACATACCAAGAGATAATCATCAAAGTTATAATGGCGTTGAGGAAGTTAATAGAAATAAATATAAAGACATATATGCTACAAGAAATATTTACAATAGAAATATTGCAAAACAGTTTTATGATCATGAAATTTCAAGAAATCAAAATCATAAAGAATATGATGATTTGCTAGGACCAGAACGTATACAATATTATCAAGATAAACTTGATAATTTGGAGAGAAAACTACAGTATACTCGGAAACTTAAACATCAAAATCTGTATTCTGTTAGTATAGTCTTTATTTTCTTTAAAATAATTACATAATTACCAATTTAATTGGAATTGAATGACAAACAAACAAACGATGCAGTAACAACTTTCAACTCAAATAAAAATTAGCATATAAATATTCCCTCAATCTTTTTTTTATCTAATTATAATGGTAAAGAAGCTAACAGCCCACCTGATGGTAAGCGATAATAGTAGTCTATTTACACGAACAGGACTAAGATGTCATGCCTCTTATCCTATAACTTCAGTCCCCTAAAGCACAAAGCACACAATACAATATATAGTACAGTACATTTGGCGGACTTAACACCATTCCGCATTTTCTGTACTCTACATCCAAAACACAGCTCACAAACAAATCTGCTTGGCGGAAAATTTTAAGTACAAAAGGTAGAAGGAATACCAGAGGCTCTACCTCAGGTATTCCTACTAATATTATAAACCATAAAATTTATATGGATGGATGTGTGTTTCTCTGGACTACTGGACGGATTCGACAAAAATTTCGTATATAGACAGATCAAATAATATATGTTTTACTCGAATTCAATTTCTGATAAGTAACGTAAAAGCATTTACTAATAACAAGAATAATAAAAAATATTAAATTTTATTAATTATTCTGTAATACACATATTACAAGACTGATAGTGAATGTTTTGCATATAAGAACTGATACTATTTTTTGAATCCGTAACGGTTATCTAAAAATTTATCGTGTGTATATATATATTTTTAAATAACTCCAAAAAACGAGGAGTCATAGTCTATCTACAATCTTCATAACTCCGTCATTTATAAACCTACTTGAAAAAACCTTTTTTTATTTGAAAGAGTATACTTACAGATTGGGTCCATTTTTTGGAGTTTAAGAGTCGAATTGTTTTTGTTTATTTTCTTTACTATTATTCAACAGGACACCGCTCAACATGTTCGGCGAATAAGACCCACAACTCATGATACAAACACCATCCACTCGAGGCGAAGAACGCTAGTGGAACCACTTTACGTGCCAGATAGAGCGAGATTTTTGCATGGATTCTAAATAACTTATTGTATTGTAGATTATAATATATTGTCATTAAATTTTATTAATTTTTAATGTTCATATTTAATTCATGTAAAGTCGCACGTGTATTGCTCATTTTGCAAGAATCACAGTGTAACCGGTCGGGAGCAAATCTTGCGTGCTATCCGTTATCACTGGCTTGGTAGTTATATATTATAATATATATATACATATATTCCACAAAACAAAAATATATGTATACAATAACTATTCAGTATATATTATGTTCTAAATTTGATTTGCCTTCTCATTGAGTTTTTTTACAAACAGTGAAAAATCTCAAAGATTACATATTTATAACATTATTATATAACATAACATTATAAAGTTGTATTTATATACAAAATTCGTTTATTTTCCTGTCTGTTCGTTTATTTTTTAACCTTTTCAGGACTAAAACGTTTAATGATTTTAGGACAGGTTAATTCACTCAGCGCCAACTAGACCCAAGCTAAGCAAAGGTTGTTATGCGTACTAGACTAAACGAATACTTAAATATTTTTTTATAAATACCTATATAACAGACATACAAAACACCTATAAACACAATCATACTCATGAATACAAATTATTTATATCGCACAACAAATCGAACTCTCGAATATAATATAATAACTCTGTAATATTTTAAGAAAGGTGTTACATATGAATGTGGATGGTTATAAGGGCAGAGGAAGGCCGAAAAAGAGATGGATGGACTGTGTGAAAGATGATATGGTAAGAAAGGAAGTAAATAACGCGATGACTGCGAACAGGGATGAATGGAATGATGATGGAATTTTTTTGAGAAAAACATTACGTCGACCCCAAATAAATGGGATAAGGAACAAGCAGATGATGAACAAATCGAACTCTCGAATAACAGAAGTAAGTCATTGTGCAACTACTAGACCATCGATGTAGTCAAAAAAAACGAAGTCGCGGGTTATCCGCTAGCTAATATGAAATAAATATTGACTAGTTCTAGAAAGTTTAATGCCTTGTAAGCTAATTCAATCTCGCGAATTTCGGAAATTATATAAACATGTTTGAAAGATCTGAAATAGAATGTGGCTTTTGTTTGGCCAAAACCTGAAGGTCTTTGTTACTTATCTAGGTGTACATAACACTTAACAGACATCAGAAGAAATTATATCGAGTGGCGAGTTTTATAAGAATGTATTTTTTCCTTTCAACATGCCACAGCCGGTCCCTGTTTACTTAGGACCAAGTTTCTTTCAATGTTTAAAGTAGTAAGAAGTATATACGTACATTTGTTATAAATCTCCCAAATAATAATAATATCTCAGGACAACTCACACAGCGCCATCTAGTACAAAGCCAAACAAAAAAGAGCTCGTATTATGAGTTCTAGATAACTGATATAAATATAAAGTTGTTTTGTAAATTCTTACATAATATAGATTGTTGTTGTTAATTCTATAAATAGGTATGTCAATGTAGAGAATCTTTTAGTTTTAAGTTCGCCATATGTAGACTTATATATTTATATGTGCATTAAAGTTTAAATATACTTAGAAACCACCCAGACCGATATAAACATTTATACTCATGAATACAATATTTGTACCGTGCGCGGAATCCAACCCGCGACCATTGTTAAACCATAGCCATAATAGACCACCACAATATGATTATTTAATTAGGAAAATACAACAATAAAGTGTATTTTCAATATATATATTATACATGTATATATATTTCATGAAATATGTATATATGATTCATAAAATGCTCCACCTTTATAAAAAAATATTAAATAGCTTTCCACAACATACAGCTTACAGCGGATTTAAAAAAAAGAGCAATCAGTACTGAGACAGTAATAAAAAAAATGAGTAGTACAGAGAATTAGTATCACAGATAATATAACATTACTACAGATAACATAATATATATTACTCAGTAATAATAGAAATAGAAAATCATTTATTCAAATAAACTTAATTTAAGCACTTTTGAATAGTCATAACAAGTTTGAAATGACCGATTTCGTTTACAAAACTTTATTGAACCTTATCGATTACAAACTAAACTTTGCGAAAACAAACTAAACTTAACCTTTTCAGTTATAACAACAATGACCTGGGAACCATAACATGCAAGTATGTAACACTTTATTCATAACGATTAACTCGTCCGGCCTCGGGCTAGAAGTATTTAAACTTTAATAAACAAATAAAAATAATATATATCGACTCTATTGTATGTAAAAATGGTCTGTGTTATTCAGGTCTGTTCGCTATTTCTCGTGATTGTTTCCTTGCCGAGTTTTTATTTAAAAGGTTTACACTTTAAACAGGTATTTAGTTATATTATAAATGAGCAAATAATCATGTTTATTTATTAATCTAAATATATATAACTCAAAGGTGACTGACGTTGTGACCTATCAATGCACAGCCCAAACCACTGGACGGATCGGGCTGAAATTTGGCATGAAGGTAGATGTTATGACGTAGGCATCCGCTAAGAAAGGATTTTGATTAATTTTACCCCCAAGAGGATAAAATAGGGGATGAAAATGTGTATGAAACTTTGTTAATTTAAAACCGATCGGGCTGAGACTTTGCATGCATTAAGCTATGTACTATGACGTAGGCATCCCCTAAGAAAGGATTTTCATAAATTCCACCCCTAAGGGGATAAATTAACGTGAGCGAAGTTGCAGGCAAAAGCTAGTTTAAATATAAATGAGATATTAAAAATATGATAGATGGTTTTAGACTTAATTACGAGATAATAAGTTTTGTATGACTTATTTCTTATGGATAATAATGGAATGGTGCTCCCGCCTGCGCTAATGGTTTACTCTGGTGGGGTATCAGAGAGAATGATAAGATGAGGTCATGTCAATTAGCCCACCGTAGTAAATTCACTACCACCATCTCTACTTTTTTCTATAAATGTAGACACATCTATAATTCGGCGAAGCTATAAAGGTCAACTACTACCATCAGCGTCGGAAGAGTTCCTAGAAACCTATTAAAATTTAAAATGATTTATTGATAAATAGTTACACGAAGCATTCTGTGGTTATACTACGCAGCAAATGGTATTATTATCTACAGTTACACTTCCCGCGTTCATCTCTGGCGTTGTTCATGAAGAATTTTCTGAATAAGTAAGCCAAAAATTATTTGTTTGATGAATGAGGAATTTGACAGTCAATTTTCTTTTGTATAAAAACCGTAAGGTCGTAGAGAAATAAACATAGAAATATATTTTATTCTTTTTCCAGACCTACTTATCTAATGGCAAACATTTGTCACATGAACATGAAATGGATGGCTATTATAATAAAAAACAAAGGGTAAGTTCCTCTATTACAACGTTGTTGATCATACTACCGGATAAAGAAAATTTATTTTCATATATGAATACTAGGTATCTAGTAGTGAAATAAAGATTTTAGTACATATATTATTATTAAAAGTGCAGATTTTTATATAACATGAAACAGGAAACAATATGATAGCCTACAGGATGGAATATGGTAACGGTGTAGATGTTGATGAATGAATGGTGTTTTAAATCGTGGAGACGCCATTCCTGGGAACTATCGACGTTGACTTTGTACAAAGTCGTCTACCTGTGCCTCTATTTCAGGCACTTAGGCCTATATTTCTGAGTAAATCTGCATTAAAACGCCGACATTTAACAACCCTTATGACATATTATACCGAATAACAGTCGTTAAAGTATATTGAAATGTTAATATCTTTAATTAGTTGAGAACAGTTTTTTAAGCAGGTTGTGCAGGTTGACCATATAGGTTGTTTTGTAAATTGTGCTTCATTTTTTTTAAATTTATGATAAATAATAGAGTATATAAATAATATAATGGTGCACCCACCTGCGCTAACGGTTTACGCTGGCGCTTTACCTGTAGAGGATGATAAGATGAGCATGAGATCAGATCAGTAAGCCTACCGTTGTAGATTGGCCATGAATATAAATTCATGGCCAACGGTTATCTTATATACATATATTATCACGATAGTTTCCAGTTCCCACCATGGAGTTGGAGGACAAGTTGACATGGTACATTGCTTGAGATAGGGGGGGGGGTCATTGGTCCATGGGGTCCAATATGGGGTTATTAGTCCACCTTACTAACAATACCATTCCCCCGCTGTGTTTTGATTGATGAGTTAGATATGGAAGTAAAGTTAAAGAGCAGGAAAGCACTCTTCTACTGTGATCACGCGTGAAGGGGTCAAGCAAGCTGACTCAGCTTGTTTGTCACTCCAGTTACAATTATAATAGTTATAAAAAATACCAATTAAAATTTCAGAATGCCCGTCATGTGGAAGCAGTAACTGAAAGCGTTCTGGAACATTTGGTTAAAGAAATCAACAAATATTCAATGACGAAAGGTGAAAGAAAAAATACTACAATATCCAAAATGATCCGACGACTAAAAATGAAACTAAGGAAACAGCTGCACAAGAAGAAATCTAGAAAAATAATAAAATATATGATTAATTCGACGACTACGCAAGTAACGACTATAAAACCGTAAATAAAATTGATCATTTTTATTCAATAAATAAATAGTATTATTTATTAACGTCCGTTTTTTTAATATAATATAATATTATCCCTAGACAATTTACACAGTGCCATCTAGTCTCAAGCGAAGCAGAGCTTGTGTTATGGGTACTAGACAACTGATATAAATACATGGATGCATTTTTTATAAATAAATACATACAATACATAGAAAACACCCAGACCGATACAAACAATCGTACTCATGAATACAAATTTTTGTACCGTGCGAGGAATAGAACTCGCGACCATCGGATATTAAAGCGGTGTGCTAAACCACTAGACCACCGAGGCTATCAAATATAATAATAATTTTAACATCTACTTTTATGAACTGATGTTAATCATATATGTCCATTAGGAATCCTTTAACCTCTACCTCCATTACTAGGGGACTATAAATTCATTAGTCGAATAACTCC